AAAACACCCCCTATCATGTATTAACTTTAATTCCCATAGTAGCACGTAACTACATGCACTTTATGTTCTTTGTTAGCCTTAATCGGTCACAGGTCAAACCTTGCTAATGTCCTCTGCTTATGCATTTCAAACCTAAATATGGTTCGGTATTTCTCATCTCCAAACCCATTTGGACATAATGAGTCCAGAAAAATAGCCTCCTTCTTAGCAACTAATAACACCTGTGAAGAACATACCCTATTAATGTCAGCTATAGGGGCACCAACTGGTTTAAAAATAGAGGAAAAACTAAAAAACAATGTAACTGTACACAAAGCATGTAGTGGCTTGCTGTTTGTGACCCCCTAGACCATGCTGGCAAAATGATGATATCTTTAGATTCCACATTGTCCTATGAAAAAAAAACTATGTTCAGATCTCCTTGGACATAATCTTCACTTAAAGAGGTGTATCTGCGGGACTTATCAACACATTATACAACTTACCGGCAAACTAGGTTCGCTTAGTTTCCATTTAGGGACTTCAAATAGGTCAGCAATGTGGACATCCATTCCCTGAATAAAATTGTATGTCTGCATTTCATATACATACATCTCACAAAAGTGAGTAGTAAAAATGTGAGAGGTGCACTCACTTTTGCACAAACTTATGTGTAAGTCATCAAGGTAAATACAAATACATACATGTCTCCTGCCTGCCTCCTCTACCAGCCTGAAGCACGCATTCCCAATCTGAAAGCACAGAATGTTTTGCATAATTACAATAAAGGCATTAGAACCATCCAAACTCTTTACAGCAATATCCACTTACACTGCTCTCCACCTGTTCATCTAGCCCCAGGCTCCAAAAGTCTTCCCTTTGAAGACAAACTGGGCCATCCAGAACAACAATTTCTTTTGCTGGACGTGTTCTATCCAGCACATAGGTCAGCTAGAAATAAAAAATATCCCTGTTAGGAATAAGCAATCATGCATTTATTATTTAAAGCACACCAACAAGCTGTGCATGTGAACTATCCAGTTTAGTTTGGCACTCACCACTTGTTCTTGTTGAGGACACAACCTCTTGTGCCACAGTGGACCTTTATTGGCATACTGGTGGTCCACCAGTCCAATGTCTTCTGCATTGTTTTGGCTGCCCTCCGATTCATGGCTATGATCTACACAACAGGAAAGTAAATAGTAATCAGCATTGCCAAGTGTCATGTTTATATTTGCTATGTCACCAAGTAGGATTATTACAATACCTTGTGGCCGAAAGTAGGGCCTTAGCTGTGCAACATTCATTTTCTGTATTTTTCCTAACATAGCCACACTTGCCACACCCTTCTCTGTCAGGGATGTGAGGGTGAATGGCCCTTGGTGGAGATCCTGTAAACAATTTCCCTTCTTCACCTTCTTTTTGGGCTCCCCAATTAGGACCTCGTCCCCTGCCTTAACTGAGCACTGGCGAACCCCTTTCCTTTTCTTTGCCTCAAAAGCCTTTTTTTGTTTCCCCTGTGCCTTTTCAATGTTTTTCCGTACCTTAAAGATAAGAATATATTACTATGCGAACATTCTTATTCAAATTGAACATGCCATTCACACAACTCTGAACAAACCGTTTCATTGAGGGCCTTGACTCCAGCTAGTTTTAGCTCCAGCTCCTCCTCTGGGTCCGCCAATTCAAAGGCAGCGTCTGTCTCACAGACATTTAATGCCTGTGGTAGACGGGGGTGCCTATTGTACATTAAAAAGTACGGGCTGTACTTGGTGGATCTCTAATTTGAAACAAAATGTTTTGCATCAAATCACAAAATAAAACTCTTAAAACATGTATGCAACATATGTTATCTAGTCATTTTGAATAATAACCTGTTTTGCAGTGTTTATTCCATAAACTATGGCCTGTAAGTGGATGTCCCAATCATCATGGTGCTGATTAACATATTTTCTGAGAGTCCTCTTTATATTTTGATTAGTTCTCTCATCCTTCAACATAGAAAGGAATTGTTACATGCACTTTAGTGTACATTGGCTAAAATGGACTTTACTGTTTTGCGGGATGTCATGAGGGCACACTTACTTGGCCGTTTGACTGGGGATGGTATGCACTTGTGATGGCATGCTTGATGTTCAACGCCGCAAATATGTGTGCATTAAGCTGTACATCAGACACACATGGTTATTTTCAATATTTATTGGTCTCAGAAATGACCAATGAATTGTGATGATGCCATATGCCCTGTGTGAAGGGAGAGGGTAATAAGGACACATACCTCGTTAACAAATGCACGGCCCCTGTCAGTGATGATTTTCCGGACCATACCAAATGTGTAGAGCTTTGACACAAGTGCCTCAGCCACCTCAGTGCTAGAGCCACACTTCAAAGGCTCAGCGATAACCCACTTGGTGAACAGGTCTGTCACCGTGAGGACGTATTGATGGTCTTTCATGGTTTTTTTCAGTGGACCAATGAGGTCCATACCGACCACCTCCCACGGCTCTTTCACCTGTGGAGATATGTAATATTACCACATCACCTAACTTGTTGCTTTAAGTGGTACACCAAGGTAAGCTCTACCTTAATAGGGTGAAGGGCAGGAGACACAGTCTTTATGGGGTCGTTCTTTTGGCATCTGTGACAGCTTTTGACCTGATGGATACATTTATTATTTAGACAAAATAATTATATTATTTAGACAAAATAATTATCTGAAGTCAAACAAAGCCACTAAATCAATTCATTGCCTGAGAGCCATAGTGTCAAATTCCATTAAAGTTCCAAAAAAGTACCCAATCTGCCACATCTGCCTTTATGTTATCCCAGTAGTACCCCACAGCAACCCTGTCCATGGTCGCCCTCACGCCCCCATGGTTCCCTGTTCCAGGGTTGTTGTGGCACTCCTCCAGGACAGCCCGCCTCTGCTCATCAGACAGCACAACCAGCCTCATGAATTGTGCACTGGGGCCAATGTAGAATAATTTACTTTCTGTGATAGACAAACAATGTTTGTAACGTAATGATTTTGCTGCTTTGTTTGGTATTACAATACAGCACGTATGTGCACATGTGTCTGTTCAGGGATGCAAACACGTGTGGTGAAAAATGTTGGCGGTTACTATGTCTGACTAGATGGAACGTTACTGACATGCTCACACGTGTTAACTAAAACAATGCGAAATATTATTTTCAAATACCAGAGTATAGAAGAACAAGAGGCGAAACTCTGATGCTTTTTTTGGTAACAGCCACTAGGTGGCGTTTCGGTAGCCCGCCATTTTGGGGTGAAGTTTCCAACTGGAGTTACTGGACAACAGCACAGATAACAGTTTTTTGAGGTAGTTTTTTCTTGCATTAGTGAGTATTACCATTTTATGCAACTTTACACAATTACTACTATTATTAGTTAGTTACCAACTTCACTAGGCCTGAAATATATTTTGTACGTTTTAATCCCCTGGATTATGCTAAAAACATGATGATCTTATAGAACATGATGCATTGCTGTGTCCGTTATTCTATAATTGCCACTTTTGTACAGTGGCTGTGTTTTTGTTTACATAGTCTTGCTTTTTGAGAGAGAGAGAGAGAGAGAGAGAGAGAGAGAGAGAGAGAGAGAGAGAGAGAGAGAGAGAGAGAGAGAGAGAGAGAGAGAGAGTGTGTGTGTGTGTGTGTGTCTGTTCGTGTTTGTGTGAGAGAGAGAGAGAGAGAGAGAGAGAGAGAGAGAGAGAGAGAGAGAGAGAGAGAGAGAGAGAGAGAGAGAGAGAGAGAGAGAGAGAGAGAGAGAGAGAGAGAGAGAGAGAGAGAGTGTGTGTGTCTGTTTGTTTGTGAGAGGGTGTCGGTTCCTGTTTGTTTGTGTGTGAGTGAGAGAGTGTGTGTTTGTGTGTGAGAGAGTGTCTGTTTGTGTGAGAGAGTGTGCGAGTGAGTTTGTGTGTGAGAGAGAGTGTGTTTGTGTGTGAGAGGGTGTCTGTTTGTATCTGTTCCTGTTTGTTTGTGTGTGAGTGAGTGAGTTTGTGTGTGAGAGAGTGTCTGTTCGTGTTTGTTTGTGTGTGAGTGTGTGTGTCACAAATCATAATTCAACTTGAATGGTCTGTTTGTGTCTGTTCGTGTTTGTTTGTATGAGTGAGAGAGTGTCTGTGTTTGTGTGAGAGAGTGAGTTTGTGTGTGTGAGAGAGTGTGTTTGTGTGTGAGAGGGAGTATGTTTGTGTCTGTTCCGGTTTGTTTGTTTGTGTGTGAGTTTGTGTGTGAGAGAGTGTCTGTTCGTGTTTGTTTGTGTCAACTTATTTAAATATCTTACTTTACTGCAACTATCTGTTTCTGCTTCTTTATCATATTTATAGTGTGTGATTTATAAAATACCTTATATCCTACATCACATACATCATATATTGTGTCTGGTCACTGTATATCTTATATCAGAATATTATATTACTGTAAGCCTACTGTGAATATTAAAATACGCCGAACCATGTGTCCTGTATCATAGCTACATGAATGACATTTGCAGCAAAAAAAACCGCGCGAAAATCAGTTTGATATTCAGTGAGGTATAATTAATTTAATGCGCTGACAGCTCATTGCACCTGCCAAACAGATTACAGCGGGTGACCGGTCTAAGATGGGACACTGGCAGTAACTTAGCGGTTGATAGGGCGTCTATCAATAATGATGTCTATGCACTCACGTACCTCTTATAACAAAATTTGCAGCCATTCGTGAGACCTTCTTCTTCAACGCTGCATCCACCAACCCGTCAACCAAATATTGTCTAACGGCAGCGTAAAGGGCAAACTTCTCATTTCGCTCATTTCTTCCACTGAACTCCATTTTCTTTTGCTGTGAGTGAATGAAAGTTTCGCGGTACAAATATGCGCATGCGTGGAACAGATCGTGCAGTGTCGTAAATCAAAATCAGCATCGCAAAACAGAATTATAATTTGCGCATGTGCGTTTTCTACTGCGTCTACTACGCATGCGTAGAACGGATCGTGCAGGTGGAACGGATCGTGTACCGACACCGTCCTCTGCGAAGCTCAACGTGAGTTGTCATTGAGCTTCTTTTTTATTATTAATTCTACAGTACTCCTTATTTATAACTCGGCTAGAAACACTTTTATTTGTCACATCTAAACGGTATTTATATCGCCAATAGATGTAGTGTCTGACGAATAACAAAAAGCATGTGGCATTTAACTTAGCTTTCGAGCTAATTTATCAATGAATTAAGTTGCCGTACTGGTTGAAGTAAGTTAACGTTACGTTACAGTGTGTTGCATTTTGAGCTGGATGCTTCACGAAACAGCAGGAGCTACTAATCGTTTTAATCCAATTGTGTTCAGTCATTTTCTTATACAAAAGACCTTCAAGGACTATTTTATTGCCTAACCCTAACGTACATGCATGCATTGTTTATTGTCCACACATAAATACTACTGAGTTTAGACCCAAATTACTGATTACAGCTCATCATTTGAGCAAAGAATGTGCTCTCCATCTCTGTTTTCTCGTGTCCTGTTTCAGAATGGGCAGTGTTTTGGCTGCCAGCGCCCCCAGCCCGCCTGCACCAGGGCCAGGTGGAGCGGGTTTGGTGTCAATGCCCCCAGGTTTCACGATGCCGTCCGTCTCACCCGTCTCTGTCCCGGGGAGTTCTTCAGCTGGGCTCCAGGAGACCGAGCCTCCCCTTCCGAACCCCGGTGGCTTTGAAGAGTGTCATCGCAAATGCAAAGGTAAACATAATTAATTACTTCATAAAATAAATAAATAGATTATGTATAGTCCCTGGTAAACTAAGATTAATCAGGGAATCAACACTTTTAACTAAGCCATTTCAATTGTACCACGTTCATGTGTATAACATTGTTTTCAAACAACTGTACAAAAATATTAAAATTATATTGTGTGTGTGTGTGTGTGTGTGTGTGTGTGTGTGTGTGTGTGTGTGTGTGTGTGTGTGTGTACATATGGTGCAGGTCAAAAGTTTGGAAACATTACTATTTTTAATGTTTTTGAAAAAAGTCTCTTGCTCATCAAGCCTGCATTTATTTGATCAAAAATACAGAAAAGTTTACAGTTTAAAATGTTTTTTTTTTAATATAAATTATACTTTAAAATATAATTTATTTGTGTGATGCAAAACAGAATTTTCAGTCCAGTCTTCAGTGTCGATCTTTCAGAAATATTCTAATATGCTGATTTATTATCAATGTTTGAAACAGTTGTGCTGCTTAATATATTTTTTGTAACCTGTGATACTTTAAAAAAAAAAAGATTCTTTGATGAATAATACATTTTAAAAGAACTGCATTTATTTGAAATAGAAATATTTTCTAACAATATACACTACTGAGTATCAAATCAGCATATTAGAATGATTTCTGAAGGATCATGTGAAGACTGGAGTACTGATGGCTGATGAAATTCCAGCTTTGCATCACAGAAATAAATTATATTTTAAAGTGTATTAAAATAGAAAACCATTATTTTAAATTGTAACAATATGTCACAATATTACTTGTTTTTTTTTCAGTATTTTTGATCAAATAAATGCAGACTTGATTAGCATAAGAGACTTCTTTCAAAACGTTTATAAAAATATAAAAAGCATTTTAGAACAATTTCTGAAGGATCATGTGACTGAAGCCTGCAGTAATGATGCTGAAAATTCAGTTTTGCCATCATAGAAATAAATGAAATGTCAAAATATATTAAAATAGAAAACTGTATTTTTCATTTCACAATGTTGCTGTTTTTACTGTATTTTGTATTAATTAAATGCAGCCTTGGTGAGCATAAGAAACTTTTTTTTAAACGTTGGAAAAAATTACAGCCAGTAAATATAAACCGTTTCAACTGTATTTTATATCCTGCTTCCCCAGTTCAAAATCAATTCAAATTCAGGTATTCCATTTGAATTTGAAAAGGCCTTCTCATTTCAGTTGTACCTTTTGCTTTGAATTTAGGTTGATTACAAATTCATGGTAATGTCTGTTTGTCCCTCAGAGGTTTTTCCCATGCAGATGGAGGGTGTTAGATTAACAGTGAACAAGGGCTTGAGCAACCACTTCCAGGTTAGTCCAGTGTGTTCAACGTTTGTGTTGAACGTTTCTGGAGTCATGTTGTTGAAGAAAGTCTGTCGGTCCCTGGTTGTAGCCATCAACTCCTGTTTTAATTCCTAGGTGAACCACACAGTGTTGTTAAGCACTCAAGCAGATTCCAGTTACAGGTTTGGAGCTACCTACGTGGGGACCAAACAAATAGGACCAGCAGAGGTACATTTTGCATGCAGTATAAATAAATATACAAATGTACTTTTTGATTTGAAAAATTAATTTGTGCTGTTTACCCTAATATGTATAGTTTACTTTATTTTTATTTATTTTTTTGCCAGGCCTTTCCTGTCATTGTTGGTGACATGGACAACACAGGGAGCCTAAATGCACAGGTTATTCATCAGATCACAGACAGAGTGCGCTCTAAATTTGCCTTCCAGGTGTGTATTTGTGAAAAAAGAACCTTTCCCCTGGTTTCACAGACAAGGCTTCCAGACTAAACTGCGTGTTTGAGCTGTTAAAACTCAAAGTAACTTGCTCTGGCATATCTTAAAATATTGTCAGTGCCAATGTTTTCTCTCAAGATGCACACTAGTAAAGTTTTTTTTTCTTTTTCTAAGGAACATTTTATAAAAGCTAATTGAACTCAGGTCTAATCCTGGCTTAATCTAATCCCTGTCTGTGAAACCAGCTCCATATGTGTTTATTTTTGATTAATTATGATCAAATATGAAAGCATCGCTGGACGTACTGAAACACTTGTTGTCAATCAGACGCAGCAGCAGAAGTTTGTTAACTGGCAAGGAGATGCTGAATTAAAAGGGGAAGATTTCACTGCCGCTGTGACCTTTGGCAACCCAGATGTGTTGGTGGGGTCTGGTAATTGTCTTCTTTTTCATCCGTGTTTATTTTAGTTGCTGTATTTGTTTTTAGTCAAGTCATGTCCTTTCTTTAGTTAATGTATTTCCTTTCCGTTTTTTTTCTTACCTCTCATCCCTCGCATCTCTCTCAGGAATTGTTGTAGCTCATTATCTCCAGTCTGTCACTTCGTCGCTGGCATTAGGAGGAGAGTTGGTGTACCACCGCCGGCCAGGAGACGAGGGCACAGTCATGTCTCTGGCAGGCAGATATACAGGTAAACGCATATAAAGAAAGAGTAGTACTTAGGCATGCGAGTATCAAATGTTATATGTTAATGTGCCCCTATTAGGCTTTTTCAGATATTACATTTCATGTATTTATGTTGCTGTTTGGGAATGTAAAAGGTCTGCAAATTTTGAAAAAGATCAAAGTGGATGATAAACGCTTTTATTGTAGCCTGGCAAGCCAGACCTACATCTAGATGTTAGGTCTGGGAACTCACAATTGGCATATCAATCCGAAGGGCGGGATAAACGGTTGTGTTTCAATATCACTCGGCACGCAATAGGACAGCGCTACAACCAACCAGAGCAACGAACGGCTGTGGCTGAGTGAGTCCCATGCGTTTTTCCACCAGTGAACCAGCTAGTTGGTATATTAAACTTTTGCCGTATCCGGTTGTCAAAACTCATCTTCCTGTTTTAGGAATGACTTAAGTGACGTTCTCTTAACTCCAAGTCCTCCAGAGTCGCGGCCAAAGCTGATTCGAAAGACCGCTGTTCGCCAGCAGCATCTTCTTTGTTTTCAAGCAGAGGGAAATCACCTATGGAAATCACACGGAACCGTCACAACTCTGTCGTCATTATGCCCGCCCGCCGACTCTATACACGATGTGATTGGCCGGACCAGTTTTTGGTTTTTCTAGCTCAAAAGTCTATAGAGAGTTGGTAGACCACACTTTGCTGCAAAATAATTTTTGCTGCCGCTAGGGTGCGTCTAGATTTCTAGGCTACTTTTATTGTCTCCCTAAATAAAGAACTGATTCTGAACTGCCTGAAACAAGTCACAGTAATTCCAATCTTGTTTCCTGCATGAAGGTTTGTAAAAAAAAAAAAAAAAAGGCTTAATGCCAGCCTGTGGTCTCCATTGGCTGCTCGCGAAGAACATGTATTTTGACCCTCAAACTCTGGAGTTGTAGCTGAGGCCTGGATAATGGTAATGGCCGTTTCGCTTCTGACATGTTCTATTGACCAATCATAACAGACTAGGACAACTGACCAATAAGAGCAGAGTAGGCTCTCGGAAAGGAGGGGTTTAGAGAGGCTGAATCCTTCGTCAAACCATTTCAGACACTGAGAAAAGAGGTGATGCTGCAATGAGAAAATTAAAGTGCTTTTGACCTTGGATGTACAGTATGTAAACCTAGGAACAAAACTAGGGACCTTTAAATTGGCATAATAGGGGCACTTTAATAACAAGTTGAATTTTTTTCTTCTTCAAATAACAAAAAGACAGTACACAATAAAAATGTATCATGTAATCAGATTTTAGTTAGAAGTGTGACAGTACACAACTATATTGAAATTATAATAAAGATCTGATCATTTTCAGCCAATGTCTAGAAATCTTTTCTGGGCTGGCATGTTTTAACCCAGATTAAAATAGTAAAAATTTGGTTTAATAATGGCTTTTTGAAAACAGGCAGCAACTTTATCGCCACATTGACACTAGGAGGAGCTGGAGTTCACGGGTCATATTACCACAAAGCCAATGATCAGGTAAATGTTCTTCAGCAGAATGATTCGTGTCTTTATGCATTAATTTATGCTGTTTTATTGCTTTATAATGACCTTTGTTTTGTTGTTGTTGTTTTGTATTTTTTGTATCAGTTGCAGGTTGGCGTGGAGTTTGAAGCGAGCACCCGTATGCAGGACACTAGTGCATCATTTGGGTACCAACTGGACGTCCCCAAATCCAACCTGCTCTTTAAAGGTTGGTACACATACTTACAAATGCATGCAAGCATTCATCGAGATTTCATCATTTTGTAAAGTTATGATGTATTCAACAATTGCCTTTGTTGTAATATTTCAAAAGGCCATATCAGAAAGCCAAATCATTCTTTGAGCAGCATTCCAATCCAATCTTCCTATTTGAAAGATTTCTACACTAAAATAGTGTCATCATTAACTAGTCATTCCAAAGATTGTTGTCTAATATTTAAACTTAAATCCATCCCAAAATCCTCAAATGATTAAAAAAAAAATCTGCATGGAAATTCATGGTTAAAAAGTATGTGATAAACCCTGATTTACAGAATCTCTCACTCTATCTGTAGGTTCTTTAGATAGTAACTGGGTGGTTGGAGCTACGCTTGAAAAAAAGCTTCTGCCTCTGCCTCTGTCACTGGCCCTCTGTGCTTTCCTTAACCACAGAAAAAACCAGTTCCAGTGTGGGTTTGGCATCACCGTTGGTTAAACCTACCTTCTTTCTTGGTTAATTCTTCGGTTTACACACCAGTGCTGTTGCTGGTGAAACGGTAAAGGTTGGACCCACTTGCATATCCACACTTGTACAAAATCAGTCAGTAACTAAGAAGCAAAACAAATAAATATTTGTTGTTAGTTCCATGTATCAGACCAACCCCAGGGTTTTCATTTTGTTATTCTTGCAATGACAATTCCAATATCCCCCAAAAAAGTAACATCACCATCTGATGCATTAGAAGAACCAAGAAGAAATACAAATACACACATACATTTGTCAATCTTTTTATTGTTTGTCAGTTCAGTTCTTTTTATAAATTATTTCCTTGTTTGTTTTTCATTTCATTGTCAAAATCTTTTAAAAATTCGTTGCTGTACTCATGTAAGCACCTACATAAATAAAAAAAATGTGTGCATTGCTGGACAAACATGGATAAATTATTAAAACAAAACATATCTAACAAACTGAGATGTAGGTATAATATTTATGGATGTATTTTTGTGGGTGTGAAAAATACATTATTTAGAGGTAGTGTTTTTTTCTTATACATTTGTCTAAAACTCTGTTCAATGGTTGAGAAACATCCAACTAAGCCAATAAAGTTTTCACGTTATATTCTGTTAACTACCGGTAATCCCACATCATCTCCCACATTGTATGCAGTGCCTTTATAAATATGTATATTGAATATTACCTAATGACTTCTGCAAAGTGGTAAAATAGATTGTGTATGATTAAAAGGTTTAAGTGAAATACTGATTACTACTTAGATTACTTAATATTAGACATATTAATGGTTATAATATTGTGTCTGTAAAGGATATGACTTTACTAACATATCACAAACAGATTTTTATTTAGTTAAGTGAATACATGCAACAAAAGAATATAGAAAAAAAACCTTTTGTACCATTCTGTGTTATTGTATGTTCAGCAGATACCAGGTACTTTTAAATGCAGATAACTGTTGTGATGAAGAGGGCAATGTCCAGAAAGATCTTCTTTAAAACCTGACACATCAGTCATTATTACATCAACCTTATACGTTAATACGTGCAGACCAACATGCATAGACACAAATGTACCTCTGCACCTTAAAGATAACTTCACATGATTGCAAATGAATAATTGGGAGAGAGTACTATTAGTTTTTACTCTTTGTCCATATTCAGTGTTAATTTAGCAATTTATAATTTAGCAATATGTATAACAGACGTTTCCACCGTTCTATTCATTAATAAAAAATCAAATCTGATCTACATTTATAACACTATACCTTGGCAGTAATTGACAAAAAATGAATTAACACTGCTACGAGGGTGTTTCTAATACAACAGTTGATGGAGTGACGGCAAATTTCACATCTTTCTTTCTTCTGACTACTGTAATCAGTCTCTCGATATTTTTCCCGCTTTTTAAGTCGTGAAACGCTATGATGGATTTATTGGAGCAAGTGGGAATCCAAAAGTTTACTTAACCATGATGACTTCCACTTTTAAATACCCTGTCCCTGTTGATTTTAGCAACAGTGATATTAAATGCACAACCTATTTTCTGCATAGGAATGCAGACATAATTTTGCAAGTAGATCAATATGACTGAAGCTCAGCGCTAGGTTCTCAGTGTTCTCCTTGACCTGATTGATAAGTGCAGATGCAAACAGTCTTGGTGACTTGATGGCAGTTTTGTGTAATTGGATAAATGCCTAGACGAGTTACAATATTGCTTAAAGTAACCTTTTACCTCACTGATGTACCGCTGATTTGTTCTTTTTCAGACTGTGTGTCTTAAACCAATAAACACATCAGTTTAAAACGAAATCAAGATTGTGGAACAATGTTTACTTTGTTCTTTTACTCTAATATAGCAAGCAGAGATTGCTGAAATGCCAATTTGAATGTGCAAACTAAATGCTTAAAAAGGGCAGAGATGTACTCATCAACATTTCACATGTAATTTAAAATAATAATAATAATTTACAGACAACTGCAGATCCCTATTGTAAGCTTATTGTTTTCCCATTAATTATTCCCTTTACAGTTTTTCCTTATACATTACAAACAATTTTATAAGCCAAACATCTTAAACTATAACAAAAATGATTTAAAACAACACTGTAAAAAAATGTTGCTGCAATTAGTTATAACAACTTACAATTTTTTTAGATAACTTAAAGCTGCTGTCCGTAGCTTTTTTTGGGTTAAAAATTATCCAAAATACATATTTGATAAAATACATAACCAGCCAGTGTTCAAAACTATCTGCTTGCCTTAGCTCGATGCAAAACGGTAAGCTTGTAATAATGTTTTTAATTTTAGTGGTACTGGTGGATTTCCGCGGGAGATTCGAGCATGTCTTTGCGTCATTACGTCACATCTGTACACATAAAGAAGGAGTCTCGGCTAGTATATTGCGTGTGAGGATGCTGGAGGAGGAGATTTATAGCCTTTTCTCACAGCACTTGATATAATTAAACTTATCAATTTGATGGCGGATCCAGAAAGGTTCAAACGACGATCATCATCAGTGACAACTAGAGACTCACCCGCTGTAACATGCAAAAGACTTCGTTCGGACTTCGGAGTGGCTACAGAAAAAAAGAGACTGCAACCGGACCCATGAGAAAACAAGGATAATATCGGAAGGACATTACATGATGTAGTCACGCAATGCTTGCTGACGTTGTTAACATTAACAATTTGAGAACATAGTATAGCTACTTTGCACGGTTTTGCGTGAAATGATAACTTATAAGCAATTGTTAGATTTAATCAGCGCAATTTACTGCAATGTCAGAACCAGAACAAAAGTGAATGTTTCTTACTAGTTCAGATGACATTTCCCGGTGAAAATTCTTATGTTGGTCATACTTCCAAAAAGAATAATCTGTGATTCTGAATGACAATATCCACACCGGCGCGGTGACTGACAGCTGCACACTCTCCTCAAACACTGTGTTCATCCGCGCTGTGCTGTGTCGAGGGTGTTGAACTACAACCGACATAAAGTTGATAATTCCGCGAATGACTGCAATTGCAGATTTCGAACAGAGATGGCGACAAAGAGGAAAAATGCCGGACTGCAGCTTTAAATATCTAACTTAACTAAAATCAACTAAGCTTAATGACTTAAGTCAAGCACGAACACATACTTTTTAAGTTGAAACAACACATCATTTATTATTCTAATGTTGAATTTTAAGTTCACAGCAATCATTTTTTACAGTTAAGAAACACTCTTTAAATTATTTTTGCGTTCATTTGTTAAATGTGTGCTTCATTTTGAAAAATATATAACAGAAATCTTTATGCGCAGGAAAACCTTCTATAGCCAATAAATGTGGCTTGTGAGAATGTTACCATGAATTCTGAAACATAAAGTAGACAGCATTATGGTGAATATGTAGATTTCAGGTGTTAATAAACATGATTTCTATGATAAAAATTCTATATGCAAATATTTTTACATATACACTCACCTAAAGGATTATTAAGAACACCATACTAATACGGTGTTTGACCCCCTTTCGCCTTCAGAACTGCCTTAATTCTACGTGACATTGATTCAACAAGGTGCTGAAAGCACATGTTGGCCCATATTGATAGGATAGCATCTTGCAGTTGATGGAGATTTGTGGGATGCACATCCAGGGCACGAAGCTCCCGTTCCACCACATCCCAAAGATGCTCTATTGGGTTGAGATCTGGTGACTGTGGGAGCCATTTTAGTACAGTGAACTCATTGTCATGTTCAAGAAACCAATTTGAAATGATTCGAGCTTTGTGACATGGTGCATTATCCTGCTGGAAGTAGCCATCAGAGGATGGGTACATGGTGGCCATAAAGGAATGGACATGGTCAGAAACAATGCTCAGGTAGGCCGTGGCATTTAAACGATGCCAAATTGGCACTAAGGGGCCTAAAGTGTGCCAAGAAAACATCCCCCACACCATTACACCACCACCACCAGCCTGCACAGTGGTAACAAGGCATGATGGATCCATGTTCTCATTCTGTTTACACCAAATTCTGACTCTACCATCTGAATGTCTCAACAGAAATCGAGACTCATCAGACCAGGCAACATTTTTCCAGTCTTCAACTGTCCAATTTTGGTGAGCTCTTGCAAATTGTAGCCACTTTTTCCTATTTTTAGTGGAGATGAGTGGTACCCGGTGGGGTCTTCTGCTGTTATAGCCCATCCGCCTCAAGGTTGTGCGTGTTGTGGCTTCACAAATGCTTTGCTGCATACCTCGGTTGTAACGAGTGGTTATTTCAGTCAAAGTTGCTTTTCTATCAGCTTGAATCAGTCGGCCCATTCTCTTCTGACCTCTAGCATCAACAAGGCATTTTCGCCCAAAGGACTGCCGCATACTGGATGTTTTTCCCTTTTCACACCATTCTTTGTAAACCCTAGAAATGGTTGTGCGTGAAAATCTCAGTAACTGAGCAGATTGTGAAATACTCAGACCGGCCCTGTCTGGCACCAACAACCATGCCACGCTCAAAATTGCTTAAATCGCCTTTCTTTCCCATTCTGACATTCAGTTTGGAGTTCAGGAGATTGTCTTGACCAGGACCACACCCCTAAATGCATTGAAGCAACTGCCATGTGATTGGTTGATTAGATAATTGCATTAATGAGAAATTGAACAGGTGTTCCTAATAATCCTTTAGGTGAGTGTATATAGTGGAATGTTTGGGGATTCTATATATTCTAAATCTGTATACACAAAATCAAAACATTAATTAATTTATTTTTGTTTTGTATTGTATTTATTTTTATTTTTTCATTTGATAATTTTCTTTACAATTTCTCAAAACAATACTGGTTACACAAAACCATTTTGTTGTTGTTTTTTTATACAGTAATGCATCTTGATTACAGTTTGAAGTTTTGGTTTTGTGTTTATAGTATGTTATAGGTTTCAGGAAATGTGTCTTTTAAATATTTACATTTACATTTTAGACATATTTGTTATACAGTACTTAGTCACAGATCTGAGTTCAGTTCAGTTCAGTTGATTTCATGATGTGGAATGAGTGATATGGCATGTACAACTGACAGCAGGGCACTACCTTCTGGACTTTACTGCCTTTATCAGAGCTCTGCAATCCATTTATATACAGTGCCGATACCTTCTCAACACTTACACACAGAAGAGGACAAGAGAAAGGTAAGGAACTGGACAAAAACTCAAATGAATGCATACTTATGTCCTTTTCAGTTAAGTGAAAACTAGACAAAAATATTCATATTGGCCTTGTCTAACAAAAGGATTTTTTTCTTCTTGTAGAGCTGGCCGATAATTATGAAAATCCTTGTAGTGTTTGTTATTGCCGCTTTCTCTGGTAAGCATTCATATAATTTTACCAAATTCTTAATGTTTTTATCCCTCTCAAAACTGGTCAGACAATCAGTTAATCAGCTTAAATGTGTTTATTTACATACATTTCTTATGAATTACTGTGAATCCATTAGGTTGCCATGCCAGTGTTATGTGGCAGGACCGACCAGAGGGCAGTATGGATCTAGTGAAAAACGCATTCTGGAATTACGTGTCTCAGGCAACTCTTACAGCTGAGGACACACTGCAGGTGATTAGAAACTCAGAACTGGGTCAAGAAATCAAGTAAGTACGTAGTAAATTAGATGACGAACTGATAAACTGGCTATGAAACAAGTCATAAAACTTTGAAGAACACAAACATCCATCTCCGTTTCTCCACAGTGACAGGATCTCTAAAAGTGCTGATGCCATCAATGGATACACCCTGGCCATTCAAAGTCAAGTAACTCATCTGACACAAAAGCTTCTGGCCAAACTTTCCCAGGATGCGGATCAGTTGAAACTGCGCCTGGAACAGGAAATGACATCTGTGCATTCCCAGCTCAAGCCTTATGTTGATGAGATCAGAGCTGATATTGAGGAGCAGGTTGAGCGGCTGAAAAAGGATGTGGCCACGTATGCAGAGACCCTGAATTCTGAAGCCCTGAAATCTACTCTGGTTCAGGGGGCTGAGGAGCTGAAGGCAAAGCTGGAGAGAAGTTTCATGGAAATGGGTCCCCAAACCGAGGAGCTGAAGCAGAAACTGGACCAACACTTTTTGGAGTTTCAGATGAGCATGACTCCATTAGCCCAAAGCTTTCAGAGTCAGCTGACCCAGGGAAGTCAGGAGCTTCAGAAGAATCTGGCTCCCTATTCAGAGGAGCTGAGAAAACTGGATCCATACGCACAGGACCTGAAGGCCCAGTTAACAGCTCTCTGGGAGTCTTTTGACAAGATCAGCAGTCTTGAAAGACCTTAGAGACTTTATGGAGACCTTTTGGAAACGCAAAAGGGTGCTTCTGTTACCATTGGGGGTTCACCTAATATATTTCTTTGTTGCTCATGTATGTTTTTTAAAAAAATTGCTAAATAAAATAATGTAAGCACTATGATTGATGTCCACATTTTTTAAAAGATATCTTACAATATTATCCCATGATAGCATGCACAGCCATTCATTAGCTTACCAAAACACGGAAGGAAGGAAATAAAGAAGAGAAGAAAAAACTAATTAAAATGAAATACATACAATGGTTATTGGGACATAACAAGACCTTTGATGTAAGACTCATAAGTGGGGTTTTCTAATGGAAAAAGTGTAGGAACTTGACTCATCCACATTTTGACTGAAGGTACCTGTGCAGTTGACCATAACACTTCGTTTTTAGCCAAATAAATGCAAACAATTACTATACATCAAGAGATATACATTTGGAGACAATGCAAATGTCTTTTCAATAATCTTGAAGTGAAGCAAACCCATAGTTGGAATTTGACCTCTACACTTAACCCACCCAAGTTAGCGCACATACATTAGGAGCACACACACACTGCAAACTTTCCAGCAGGCATTATTTTATCACAATCCCAAGGATGAAAGGTTTTTAAACATCTCTAATTTCTAATGTCATGTTCAGTATTTTTTATGTGTGAGGCTTCAGAACTTTTATTTCACCCCTAGTGTGATTACGTAAGGCTGGAATACACTACACAACTCACAACACATAACAACACATCATCATAGACTTGCCGACTTTGCAAATAGTGCAGTGACCAGTACATTCCAGGGCCCGGTTTTACGGCGGCCCCCTCTCTGGCTGCAACAGTGGAGAAAGGTTTGCTACATTTTGATTGGATTTTGATAAACTAGCACAAACAAATGTCCAACACCATTAGATAAGGATGATAACTGGCAGACACCTCAAGCTTGAGAATTATATGAACTCTCATTGGTCTACAGGCAGTTTCTGCCCGGCATCCATCTTAAGACTAAGTCAGAAACACCATAGACATTCTTTAGGACATGTTATGTACAGCTGTGATGTGGTTTTTGCTAATTCAACCTTCACACTCTTGCTCTTACTGATGGGATGTGAAATAAGTGAAGATTGGCCATCAGGCCATGCATATATAGTGAAGCCTGCACCACTATATTGGCAGTGTTTCAGTTTCATTGTCCAACCCCTGTATGTTAGGCAATAATAATAATAAACTAAATGTGATAAACAGGCCTTATAATGTCAATTGTGCAAATGACAATGTATCATTGCCTGCAAATTTATATTTATACTCCAATTGAGACCTATTACACAGATACCTTTATCAAAACAACCTATTATTTAATCTATTTACTATGCGTGATACATGAGTCAAAATGACTTTATCACAGCCTTCTTGCACAAAGTTTTCATGTAAGAAATGCTCAAGATAATAGACTCATTCTCTCTTGTGTGAGATGATAGCAGTTTGCTGACATGGTGTCTTTTGTTTGAGTTATTTTAATTAAATACAATGATATTTCTAGTAATTGAGTGGTAATTGTAAAATGGACATTGAAAATAAAACCATCTGTAAAACGAAGCCAATAATAGATGGAGAGAAGAAAACATGGAAACAATACTGTAAAAAATATTGTTGGCTTAAAAAAAAGCCTTGTTGCCTTAAAATTTTGAGTTAATTGAAATTCAAAATTTGAGTTAATACAATGTAGGAAATTGGTTGAATCAACAGAAAATCAAACTATTATGTTATCTGAACCACATAAACGTTCTAAGTTGATCTGACAAAAGAAAAATGTGACAAATCATGAAAATACTTTTTACAGAATACTTATGTGGACACTATTCTTTTGTTGCATGTATTCACTTAACTAAATAAAAATCTGTTTGTGTTAGTAAAGTCATATCCTTTACAGACACAATATTTTAATCATTAATATGTCTAAGTAGTTGTAGAAATCAGTATTTCACTTTAATCACATGCACAATCTATTTGACCCCTTTGTAGATGTCTACATTTTAAGCATTACTCATTCCAAATGGGTTGACTGTGAAGTACAAAGTGATAAAATGGTAAAGAGAAGAGAGATAAATGATAAGCTTTGATCATACAAGGCAAGATGTCTTTTTAGTAGCAAATGTCTTGTTACATAATAATGAAATATTACCATTTTTAACATTTACTTACACAATACATTATTATCTCACTTTTTAAGACGTGGTCCACCTCTTTCGTTGATTGTTTTGAATTTACCATAATTCAGTTGTGCTCAATAACAATGTTCAAATTGGTTCTGTGCTTTCAGTGAGCTGGCAAGATAAACAAATGGACTACATTGATTTTTAACAAAGCAATTTTGAATTATAGCACATCTTGTCCCTTTGGAACCTTAATCATGCAACGTGGAATTGAATACTGTGATAAACAAGTATCTCAAGAGAAGAACTTTGGACACAGGGTGCCAATTCACCTGTTCATAGTCACATTATGGCTATCAACATGACTGTGATCCAAGTCATATAAATACCAGCTGTTTCAAAAACTCTCATTACAGAACACATTGGAAGATCTGTCTGGTGTACTGTCCAAAAACAATCATGAAGTTTGTGGCTGTAATCCTCGCTCTCGCTGTCATTTCAGGTAAGCGACAATCAACAATGCCAGTCTTCACAAACAGTTTATTACCGTAACTGTATGCTAATTCAACTGAGGCTGATAGTTTGATTTGATACATATGCTTAGAACTTGGATACTTTGAACATATTATGTGATGGATTTCATTGAGACCTTGACTGTACATATGGTGTATCTTCAACAATGGCTCTACATTGACAAATATTCCAAGCGCTAAAGAATATTTGGTCTCCATTCTGAATTTACAGGCTGCCAAGGGAACTTCCTGTTTCAGGATGAGCCAAAAAGCCCCTGGGAGAAGGCAGTGGATCAGTTCTGGAACCGTGTGTCTGAGCTGACTTCTAGGGCTGAGGAGATGAGGGACAACATCAAGGCCACTCAGCTCGGCAGAGAATTAGAGTGAGTAAATGCTACCGCAGAGCAAACATTTGAGCAGCTCAATTTGCAAAGACTTGGTGGAAAGTCCAGTTTCAAGAAAGCTGATTTATGATACTGAGATTCATTTCAAATTCTTTCCAGCACACTGATCGGTGACACCATGACGGAGCTGCAAATGTATAAAGATGACATGCACTCCAAACTGGGCCCCTATGCGCAGGAGACTGCCGAGAGATTCAATGAAGATCTGCAACTGCTGACCAGCAAACTCCGCACACACATGGAGGATGCTAAGGATCGTGTCACTGAATACAGCCAGGAGCTCCGGACTATGGTGGAACAGAACGCTGAAGACGTCAAGAACAGGGTCAACACCTATGCCAAGAAATTAAGGAAACGTTTTAACAAGGACATCCAAGAGATCAACAAGTGAGTCATGGTTCAAGCTTAATTACATATCTTTTGCTCCACTTCTATACAAAGTACACTACTGTTGTGTACGTTTTTTGTTATTCATTTAGGAATGAATTGGCATACTTTTATTTAGCAAGCATGCATTCAAATGATTCAAAAAAGTATTTTTTTTCTTCCAAAATGTATGTTTTATTTGTAAAAGTTCTATTTCAAATAAATGCAGGTTTTTCCAACTTTCTACTGTACAAAGAAAAGCGTCACTGTTTCCACAAAAATATTAAGCAGCACAACTGTTTTCAACATTAATAATAATAAGAAACATTTCTTGAGCACTAAATCAGCATATTAGAACTTGAATAATGCCTGCTAAAAAATTCAGCTCTGCCATCACTGTAATACATTTAATTTTATAATATATTAAAATAGAAAAAAAACGTTATTTTAAATTGTAATAATATTTCACAATATTACTCATTTACTGTAATTTTTAACAAATAAATGCAGCCTGGTTAAGCAGAACAGAATTCTTTCAAATGGACTGCATTTATATTTCTATATTTAAAAAAAATTCACATTTTGATTTCGATATTTTTACTTCTGTGGAAGGGAAATATAATATAAAATATGATATGTTAAGAAATGTATGAAATGATGTTATGAAATATTATACAGGTTTAAATGGAAAAATGTGTAATATATTAACAAAACTGTATTAATAACATAGATATGTTATACTGTAATATTATGAAAATCTGAATTTTGAGCAATTTGTCCTCTGATCTAAAGGAAAATGGAAACATACTTTGAGGAGGTTCGGTCTCGTGCCGCTCAGAATATGGAGGATGTGAAGGGTCGTCTTGAGCCTTACTTCACTGCAATGCAACAGCGTGCTGAAGATAAGCTGATATCTCTGGGAGAACTGCTGAGAAGCCAGGGGGAAGGAATAAAAGAGAAACTGGAATCACAAATGCAGGGCCTCAGAGAGCAAGTTGAGAAGACCACAGAAAATATGGGTAACACTCTTCAGGAAAAGGCAGACGAGCTACACAAATGGTTTGAGCCCTATTTCTCTCAATTCCAGAAGCAACTGGGCTATTAATACAAGTGCATAAGAATGAGGTCTCAGAAAAATAATTGGATTGACTTTTTCATTTAACTTTGCTTACAAAAATGAAGGCATTGGAAATGTAAAGGTAATGAGTACAAATATATCTAGGCTACCATTAGTACTACATGTATGTAGCTACAGATGTAGACTATGTAATATAAAGCTTAATAAAAACGGGATGGATCAATGAGTACGAGTAGGCTATCTTTGTTATACACATATATTGTTAGTTCATTCTACATGTTCATGGGTCAATGACGTCACTTATTTTCAGTGTTGGGGGAACTCATTACAAGTAACTTAAGTTATGTAATCAGATTACTTTTTCAAGTAACTAGTAAAGTAACGCATTCATTTTAACATTTACAACAAAATATCTTAATTACTTGTTCAAATAAGTAACTGACAGCTCTCCTGTCCCCATGTTGAGACAAATCATAAGTGCAGAGGCGTTGTGTGTGTGAGTGTGTGTGTGTGTGTGTGTGTGTGTGTGTGTGTGTGTGTGTGTGTGTGTGTGTGTGTGTGTGTGTGTGTGTGTGTGTGTGTGTGTGTGTGTGTGTAAACATGATGGTTATTGTAGTTCTAGACTAAATGTGAGCGTGCATTTACTCATCTCACTTGCACAAAAAAAGATTCAATATTCTTCAAAATGAATAAAATCAGTGAAATTCAGAATACTATGCAAACCTCCAATAACTAAATGTTACATAAAACATACATTTGTATGCATTTAATCTCACTTTATTGACCAATGTACTTGCTTCTGACCTTTGATGATTCAGTTAAACCATAAGCAAAAATTACTATAGATTTTTTTTGTTTTTATTGGTAAGTAAGTGTCCTTCAGCATTTAATTGAGGCTTATTATTTCACTTTTGGTGTAAAAAGGGTATTTACATTTGCCCCCAAATATAACAAAAATATAAAAAACAAGCCAGCCTAGGTGGGGAAAAAAGTAACGCAAAGGTAACATAGGCCTATACCCTTTCAAAAAAAGTAACTAAGTAACGCAATTTTAGTTTCTGAATTAAAGTCATTTTTATATTTATGTGGCTCGTATAATCAAAATATGTAATGCAACTGTACGAATATTTATATAAATTTAAAGGCTGGATTTTATTTTATTTTATTTTATTTGAAGAAATGTTTGTATAGTTTGGTACGTTCTTTTACGGTGTTTTATAATGTTAATACAAAATAACTTTTTTTTGAAAAACCAACGTAAGAATATTCCAATTTAGAACGTTTTTGAAATAGATTTTAAATTCTCCTTTTTATCAAATATTGTTTGTCCTTTCACCTTATAATAGAATACTATATATTGTGTGGGTATTTCACTTTTAAACTTTTATGAATATGCACTCCCCAGTACAACACACAAATGAAATCCCGACAAGTCTCGCACATCACACGGACCTCTCGGTCTTCCGGTCTATTACGGATGTTGTGTTGTTTGGATACACCAAGACCCCACAACAGACCACCACGAGGAACATAAGCAGATTAATTCAACACGAAAGATAATTCACACGACACTAATATTCAAGTAATAACACCCTGAGACTAACGGGCATACTTATAACAGCAAACAATAAATGACCGCGAGCGAGACATGGATTAAGCGCGCCGACCGCATCGGTGAGTGCATTAGCCCACTGTGTTTTCGCCCAGTGGCTTTTTATTATTATTTTATTTTAATTGATTTATTAAGCAATACAAAAAATGGTTGCCAGAACTGCTTTATCGAGCAGACGACAGACGGGTTTTTTCAGAGCATCCATATAACTCGTGTTGCATGTAAGTTTATACAAATTCAATAAGGTTTAGTTTGAAAATTAGCATACAGCTAAGATTCAGGCGCGACCTACAAACAAACTTAGTCAAACAAAATTTTTGAATTACTATTTGAATACTATTTGTGCATTAGTAGTATACCTTTTGGAAATATTTTACGGTCGACTGCACAAGAAACTGATCACGTTGAATCCACCCTCCCGTATTAGTTTTGCAAGCAATTTAGTTCCGTTCAATAACATTTCTTTCTCCTCTTGTGTTTTTGAAATGAACATGAAACAAACTATCAAAATAATCACCTGTGGAGTCTCGTTTGTCAGGATGCATAGGCTATGTATTGAGTCCTGGTTTGAATTTCTGTCTCAGTGTTTGTTAATATTTTACGTAAGTAAAATAAACCTTGTAACCAACACAAGTAATTTTAAGTGTATGATTTGTATCAACAAATATATATTTACAAGATCATAATTGTGTTGACCTAATTTAATGAATTCATTTATCAGTTTGCAGACTGTAAACCCCCCAAAAAATATTCTATTACTGAAAACTAAAATTAAATAGAAATTTTAGTTAAATGAATGTAAACAAAGATGTTACAAAAATGTGTCTAACATTACCTCCTTACTCTGTGCCATAGAGGTATGTCGACTATGTTGGAGCAGTTTCAGACTTGAAAATGTTGCCATACAAGACAGAGAAGTTGCAGGCATGGAGATTAAAATGAAATAAATTAAAGGGATAGTTCACTTCAAAATTACTTCGAAATTCTGTCATCATTTACTCACCCTCAAGTTGTTTTAAACCTATATGAATTTCTTTCTTCTTCTGAACACAAAGGAAGATATTTTGAAGAACGTCAGTAACCAAACAGTTAACTGGACCCATTGACTTCCATAGTATTTCTTTCTTCCTACTATGGAAGTCAATCAGTCCAGTTAACTGTTTGGTTACTGACGTTCTTCAAAATATCTTCCTTTGTGTTCAGCAGAAGAAAGAAATTCATATAGGTTTGAAACAACTTGAGGGTGAGTATATGATGACAGAATTTTCATTTTGAAGTGAACTATCCCTTTAAAGGAGAGTATTATAACTTTATGGAGCAGTCACAAGATGGTCATCTTCATTTGCCAAAATCTAATGTCTTGGTCAAGCAGTGTGTTCTGTTTTCTGACACATAAAAAGATCATGAAACTCTAAAACATTAGCACTAATTATGTTTATTAAGGGAAAAGTGGCTATTTGTTCATTTTTTTTAGCTATTTCGTTCCAAAAACTTCTTAAGCTTTTTTTTAAACTTCTGGTTTAAAAAGCAAAGTTGAACCAACATCACGAAAAGTGAAGTATATGTGTTTATTTGGAGTGGTGATTGGCTGCCGTGGCTGGAGAGTACACGTCTACGTCATTGGTTTCTCTATATCATTCATGAGAATAAACTTTTTTAATCCAATCAATGTGCTGTATTACACATGCGATCGCATTACAGTGGAGAATTCAAATGCCACACAAGATTGTGTGCCACACGCCACTGTTCGTTCACCTCTCTGCCTGTTCAACTTCGCGTTCAGATCACTGATCTATATAAATGTCTGGATTGCTCATTGCGTTCTAAACTGTCAGCAGGCAGTGAAGCCACCAGGAGTGTTCGAGCGGCCATCTTACGATTCCCTATTGACAAAGGGCATTATTGACTTACAGCCAAAACAATGGCCTAAAATCAACCGATTTGCATTGTATCAGTCGCACAGGAATAGTTTTTAAGATATTTGTGTGTACATTAATTGATATTTGGAACGTTATTGCTAATGTTTATGATCTTTTCGGGTAGGATAAGTGATATTATATATATTGATCAAAAAGATCAGTGTGTCTACTGCATGCTGCTGACTCGGGTAACTGAACTAAAACAAAATACTAATTGTAACTACTAACTACTTACTCTTTATGTAAGTAATTATGCAGGAAATATTAAGCATGAACTTATTTGGGATTCAGACCAATTGATTCAAATATACATTAAATATTACAATACATACAATCCCCTATTACTAAATTGCACTATATTATATTAAAAAAGTTTACCATGCATCATCATGCTTGGAGCAAAAGTATAAATGCTTGAAAATAGCTTCATGTCTTTAAATCCATACACAGTCAGCATAATTTCTCTGAATAAGTTGTGAAGTATGTGTATATTATTTCCTGAAGTCTTTTTGTTGACCAACATTCACTTCAGACTCTTGGGTTTTTTCTTGGAGAAAAGAACACTCTTACATATCACATACCCAGCACTTGATTCATTCTGGTTAACTAGGCTACTGCACTAAAACGCTTCCACAGTGTTTTTATTTCCTTTTGTTTTGTTTTTAATTCTCCTTTTTTATATTTGTGTAGGATCTGTTTTGTCTCCATTACTGCTTAAACAAGTGGACCCCTCAACTGCTTAATGAGAGTCTGCAAATTAGTGCCTGACGAAAAATCTCTAATATTTCCAACGTAATGTTGGAAAACACTTTTATCAGAATAATTTCTGTATATATTTTTAGTTAAGGATGTTAGGTTATTAAGCAATTTTTTGTAGGTTTTTTCCCTTTGTGTTTTATATACTGTCCACTAGGAGGTGCTCTGTTTTCCTTGATTAGTTTTCCGTGAGCAAGTTCTTTGCGTTTTCCTGTGAAATGACAGTTACGTGTCTTTAATAAAATCAACACGCTAATGATGATTTATCTCTTATCCACCCGATTTGGAATGTTATTTTTTATTACTTGGCTCGCCCGAGCCGCGTATTATTCGCGGATATAACCGCATCACTAATCCACACATTTTAAGCGTTTGATTTAATGATGGTTGTTAGTAGTCTCTAATGATACGATTTTTGGGAGATTTTTTTCATAGGGTTATAATTTTTTTAAATACATCAACTGTTTTTTATACTCATATTTTAATATTAATTTGTCTGTGTGATGTAGTAGGATATAGATATAGTAGGTCTGTGTTTTATTGGTTGTTGTCTCCCCACCCTCTATACTCCCACTTTTCCACAGCTTTACACGCTTATTTTTTTTTTTTACAAATCTAAGGTGTGAACAAGCAGTGCTAAACCATGGGTGTTTCATGACAATATAATTATAATATATCATAATTATAAGAATTAAACAGAATTTATTTTTAAATATTAAAAATGTGTAAAATCTAAAAAATGTGTAAAGTCTGCAAATAATACTCAGTCATTTTGGTAGTAAAAGTTTTTTTTAATCTAAAAACATTCTCAGATCTTGACATTTATTATGATTAACCATGTTGCTTGTAAAAGAAAGTCACAACAGACACAAAACAAAAGAAAGAATATAAGTAAATGCAGCATAAAATACAATAGTGGGACGAAATGGAACAAATATGAATAAAAATTCTGCTATGTTTGTTGTTTAAGACTATATATCATGGTTTGCCTTGTTTGTTTTCTGAAAATGTTTGTTTTTTTTAATGCAAAAATTCTGCCATTTAATTAGCTTTAAACTGAATCTAATTTCTAAATCTAAACTATTTTCCCCTTACAGGCATTTTATGAGAGTATATTAAATCAGATCAACCCTTTGGGCACTATGGACGGCAAGTTACCACCATGGAATAAACATGGAAGCCATAACAGCAGGGTTCCCTATAATATAGCAGGGGAACGTCAGGAGGTAGGTTACAATAACTATATATCTGTACATTATGATAAAGTAATGACTGAGGGGAATTACGGAGAAAGAACAGAAGAGTTCTCCCACAGTACCTGGCTCCAAACACAGCCACAGGTAAGTGATATATCAATTGTGAGGCTGAAGAGCAACATTATTAGGTTGCATCCAGCTCCTCACTTCTAAACTTAAATATCTTTTTTGCCCCTTTTTTTTTAGGATCATGACTTGATAGAAGACAGCTCTGCTGCTGGAGAACCCATTTCATCGCTGTCATCTTGTATGAGTGGTGCATTTAAGGCTTTGTTACCAGATTACCATGGAACTTCCTCAGAAATGACAACTGTTAAATATTCGTATTCTCCCAATAATAATTCTCTCGTTAAACCTGGTACTGCAGTGGACGAAAAGATAGTAGTGGAGAGAAGGGAAAAAAGCGATTGTCTGAAAGACCCTTTGTGTGAAGCATCAACTAGTGTGACACACATGCTTCCACCCAGATGTGCCCAATATGTGCCTCAAGATAAGGTATGTGACCTCTACAGCGCACGCCCAAAATAAATGTTATTTCTCCATTGTCACCTCCATTATTTTTTTCACAGGACCGAGAGGTGGCCCAAGGAAACTGTAATTGGACATCAGTGATCAAAGATGCTCTAGAGATGAGTAATGGAATGGAAATGGAACAGACTTTATCCATGGATGTATGTGGCCCCTTGATGGACTTAAATCCTCTATATAAAGGACCTGAAACTGAGGCAAAATTTACATTAATGGACGACTATAAGATATCAGGATCCAAACTAAATGAGAAGCAGGATGGTCAAGGAGTGAAAGGAGAACCGGATTCCTTTATTTCAATGTTGTCAGATGGCATCAGTAAAAAGCAAGATGTTCTGGAAATGGTAGGAGCTGATATCAAAAATCTTTTGAATGTAGATTTTATAAAACAGCATTCAAGCAATCAAAGAACAAATAATCAATTTATTGTCTCATATTTCATCTATTTGCAGGGGGAAAATGAGGAACCAAGCATATTAGTTGTTGGAACATCTCTAAGGAAAGAGGAACTGGGAATGACTGGAATCAGAGAAAATGAGCCAGGGTTTTTACCAGGATTTAATAGGAGTTCATACACTCCTTTTTCCTCATCAGAAGGTTTTATGAAAAGTGAAGAGTTCCTGGGTGTTCCTTCGGTCAAGCAGTCTGTTGAACACATCCTCCAGGGAACAACACAAGGACCCAAGTCGTGCAAAGATGTCAGTCCTAGGAAAACGGCGGGTACAAGTATTTGCTTCAAACATGCAACAGTAAAAAACAAAACTGTTCTTGAAGGTTCTTCTGTATATGGTCTTCATCTTGATCTTCAAAAGGACTGTCACCAAGCAGAGGTTACAGATGGAAACACTTCAGTTAACACCCATGATCATTCCTTACAATATGATGTGCAAGACAAGAGGGTAAACACAAGCAATCTGCATGCCTCTGAGACTACATTAATAGAGCAAAGTGCTGCATGTCTTCCTGACACTAGTAAACTAAAAAACCAAGATCATGTACTTTCTCCAGCCTCAGTGGGCAGTCAAAATACAGCTGTGGTCGAATGTGAAAACTCAAAACTGCAGATTCCAACAGAAGATGGGACCTCAGAGAGCAGCCTGTCTGTACCAGGAAAAATTCAAACTGTTTTTCAAAAGACACCAGTTAACACAAAAAATGCAGAACTCGGTCTAAAGATGGAAACAGAATCTTCCCCTGATATTCAGAACTTTTCTTCAGGATCAGAGACAGTACCACATCAAACTGTTGTATCCAACATAATTCACCTTGATTATAAATGTAAGGATTCTCAGATAGAACCAGAGGAAAGTGACGAATTAAATCCAAGTACAGTTCTTCTGCCTTGTGATGAAAAGGTACAAAACTCTGAAAAAAATGAAAGGACATTTCTCAACATTACTTCAGAAAGCAGTATTCCTCCTCCCACTGAGAATGTTCATGCAGCTCCACCTTCTCCCACGTTAAGGATCGATTGCTCCTCTCAGCCTAACCTACAGAAAGCATTGCAAAAGCATAAGAAAGCAAGAAAAAGAAAAAAATCTGAACTTGAGGAATTAAATGGACCAATACACAAATCTAATAAAAGAGATGACTGTTCTGTGTACAGATCAGTAATTTCGGACAGTGCTGACAAACCAGACACAATTGAAGGTGAAGACACTAATCAAAACTTTTCATTGACTAATCATGACAACACTGCACTGAAAGAGGAGGACTTAATTGCAAATGGTGATGTAAACCCACCTTCATCTAGAGGAAAATCACAACTGCGGATGACACAACCTGAGCTAGTGGCAGATACAGCAGAAACCTCACAAAATCCAGATCATAACTGCTCTGAAACCTCTCAGGTAAAAGCACCGTCAACCGCTATGATCGACAGGAAGGCTGTTTCTAGAAGGAAACTGAAGAACAAAACAAGGTTACGTTTAAAAGCAAAAAAATCTGCTAGATTTAGCAATCAGTGTTTGTCTCAAGCCACTGTCTTGTCCTCAGAAGAGGACTGTACATCACATTTTCAGGTCAGTGACGCCACCCTGGTAAAAGAAGTCAGCAACCCAGAAATAATCCAACAAGCCACCTCTAGATTAGAGTCCAGTATTGCTAAGTGCAGTCCAGAAAAATCTACAAAAAAGAAAACATTGCAAACAAAAAAATATGCTCTGCAAACACTACAAAGCAAAGGCGACCCACATGATGAACCCACAACATTTACAGAAGTTGAGGCAGACCTAATGGACTTCAAGAAGCATCCGAAGGTGAGAAGACCTGGTATAAAAGCTTCTAAAGGCAAAAATGATGAGCATGCAACTAGTCTGCTTAATAGTCAGTCTTTACTAGAGTCTGTGAGTCAAGCAGATTCTGTTTCAACCTCAGTAAATGAATCTTCAAACATTATAAGCCCTGAGAAAAACCCAAAGAAATCAAAGCAAAAGAAAAGAGCAGATATCAAGAAGGCAACACAATCCCAACAAGAGGATATTCCCTTACCATTATCAAAATCTAAGGAACACATGGTGATTTCCAATACAAGGACTTTGAAAGTAGAAAGATCTGTAAAGAAGGCTACTAGAACAGATGACTGTGACACTACTCTTTTGGACATACAACCTTCTATAGCCACTCTGAAGCAAATAGATTGTATTCCAACTGGGGGAACTGAAGTTGAGTCTCCAGTTGTTCTCAGCACGCAAAGGAAGTCACTGAAAAAGAAATGGTCAGATATTAAATGTAAAGCAGTACATATACCTACAGTTGACCAAACAACAGCTCAACAAAGTGTTTTGAATCCACTCTCAGAATCTGATGCTAGCATTGTGCAACCAACTATAAGAAGGTTCAGTCCAAGAAAAACATTTGACACAATTTTTTCTCATAACACAGTCAGTGAGAGCTGTGAAAATGTTCATTTGAATCAGTCAATTTCTTCAGTTGATTCTATGTCTTCTACAGTAACTGACATTTCAGGTGTCAGCCAAAAGAAAACAGAAAAGACGTCAAGTAAAAGGAGAAAGACAAAAATCAAATTTATGGAGGCACAAACATCCACTACTAGCCAAAAGGAAGATGTTACTGTACTGCCTTCAGAAGATTTTGCATCTATTGTGGTTTCGAATCCTGAAAAGACCGTGCAAGTTAAAAGTCCCTCTAGAAACAAAACAAATGACAACTACTTAAATGATAATTTGGTTGAAGACACAATATTAGCATTTGTGACACAAGAAAATTCTATTTCACCTCCAAAGATTGACTCTTCAAGCTGTTTTAGACGAACCAAAACACTGAAAAAGCCAAGAAAAAAGATTGGAACCAAAAGAAAAAATGAGGCAGAAGAAATACTCCCTGCAAACCAGCATGGAGATTTTGTTGCAATAACCTCAAAATCTAGTGCAGACATAGTGGCCTCCAGTTCACAGATGACTTTAAAAGAAAAAAGACTTGCAATTGCAGAGAAAGTGAAGGACAACCATGCAACTGCTCTTTTCATCATGCAGACTTCTACAGCCACTTTGCAGCACACTGGATGTGTTTCAACTTCATTTACACACAGCACACCAAAAAAATCTAAGAAAATGTCTGACATTAAAGGTGAAGCAGCAACACCTGAAATTGACCAATCAATGCAACAAGAACGCCATCAATTTGATTCTGCGTCAACTACAGAAATGGATAATTCAGATGGTGTACACCAAAAGAAGATAAAAGTGAAGACGAAAAGACAGAGTAAAAAGGTCACTAAACGCAAAACACATGTTACCCAAGCAATCAGAAAAATTGGAGAACAGTCTTTTTCAGCAACTGTGCAGCAAGAATATTCAGTTTCTAACAGAAACACAAATGAATTGAAAATGAAACGTATGAAAAAGAAGACATCAACACTAAAAGTCAGAAATGTTCAACCAGAGGACCATGCTGAACATCATACGGTTTTGTCAGCACTTTTGCCTCCACCAATATCTCTGGAGAAGGATGCATCACAAGACCCTTGCATAAAAACAGACATTTTTAATGAATCAGCTGAAAGTCATGTTGAAAACCAGGTTTTCACTGAAGATGTTGCATGCTCTCAGAGCTCGCTGAAGAAGGCAAAGAAAACACAAGTGAAACAATTGCTAGTGCAAAAAGAAGATAATGAACAAAGTAACATTCAAGAGCTGGCTCTCGGAGAGGACGGAAAGTCTGACGCGCCATCTGTTGTGCGGGAGGTACCCTTTGAGAATTTTGAAACGTTAGAAGCAGACAGCTGTGACCAGCAGAAGAAGGAGAAAGCCAAAAAATCCAAGCAAATTGCAGAAACGCATGAATTTGCTAATGTTTCTTTGTCTCAAGAGAAAAATACTGGATCAGATGAGGCAGGTGTCATGGTCACCTTTACACAGATCCAAGATTTCTGTAAACTACATGATGGTCAGACTGTAGAACCACAGACTGAAAAAGAAGAGGAAGAGAGTAGAATTAAAGATATCAAAGCCACAAAAACCCCTAAAACAAAGAGTAGAAAAGCTAGGCGAAAGAAGATAGCGGGCCTGTTAACTCAAACGGTTAAAGATGAGGAACATAAAGAAATATCTTATGATAACAGAATTGTCTGTGATTTTCAAAACAACACACAAATTCCAATTTCTAATAACTCACAGAGGACAGCAGTTATTCCAGAAGAACCAGTAATGAAATCAAGAAAATCAACCCGCACACAAAAAACAAGCTCGGGTCCATTTGTTCAAAATGTGTCAACTCAGGGCTCTTTAGACATCATTGAGTGTCATACGAGGCTTGGAGAGACTCTTTCTGGTTCCATGCAGCCTGATGATTGTGAAGGCCAGCACACTGTTGAGCAAAAGTCACCAAGACGTGGAAGACCACCCTCAAATAAAAGCAAGAAACAGAAGTTATCTATGGCACATTTAGAAGATAACACCACTCCATCTGTCCATGTCTCAGATTTCTCTTCATGCCAGGACAGCACAGAGACTCTTTCCAGTTCCATGCAAACTGCTGATTGTGAAGGCCAGTCCACTGTTAAGCAAAAGTCACCAAGACGAGGAAGACCACCCTCAATAAAAAGCAAAAAACAGAAGCTATCTATAGCACATTTGGAAGATGACACTTCTCCATCTGTCCAGATCTCAGATCTCTCTTCATATCAGGACAGCACAGAGACTTTTTCCAGTTCCATGCAACCAGCTGATTGTGAAGGCCAGCACACTGTTAATCAAAAGTCACCAAGACGAGGAAGACCACCCTCAATAAAAAGCAAGAAACAGAAGTTATCTATAGCACATTTAGAAGATAGCACTACTCCATCTGTCCAGTTCTCAGACCTCTCTTCATGTCCGGACAGCACAGAGACTCTTTCCAGTTCCATGCAAACTGCAGATTGTGAAGGCCAGTACATTAAGAAAACACCAAGACTAGGAAGACCACCCTCAATAAAAGGCCAGAAACAGAAGTTATCTATAGCATATTTAGAAGATAACACCTCTCCATCTGTCCAGATCTTAGATCCCTCTTCATGTCAGGACAGCACAGAGACTCTTTCCAGTTCCATGCAACCCGCAGATTGTGAAGGCCAGCACGCTGTTAAGCAAAAGTCACCAAGACGAGGAAGACCACCCTCAATAAAAAGGAAGAAACAGAAGTTATCTATATCATATTTAAAGAATAACACCTCTCCATCTGTCCAGATCTTAGACCCTTATTCGTGTCAGGACACCACAGAGACTCTTTCCAGTTCCATGCAACCTACTGATTGTGAAGGCCAGTACACTGTTAAGCAAAAGTCACCAAGACGAGGAAGACCACCCTCAATTAAAAACAAGAAACAGAAGTTATCTATAGCACATTTAGAAGATAACACCTCTCCATCGGTCCAGTTCTTAGATCTCTCTTCATGTCAGGACAGCACAGAGTCTCTTTCCAGCTCCATGCATCCTGATGATTGTGAAGGCCAGTACACTAAGCAAAGGTCACCAAGACGAGGAAGACCATCCTCAATTAAAAACAAGAGACAGAAGTTATCTATAGCACATTTAGAAGATAACACCTCTCCATCTGTCCAGATCTCGGACCTCTCTTCGTGTCAGGACAGCACAGAAAATGCTGCCAAAGCAGCTGCAAGTCCAGTGAAGCAGAAAGTCCAATCCCTTAAAAAGAAGGTAGTGAAAGTGGATAATGTAACTTTTACCAAACAATTGGGGACTGATCCCTCAGAATCCCTTCAGAGTGTTACTGATGACTTGTCACACAACATCTCTGCACCTAAGTATAAAAAAGGGAAGAACTTTAAAAGACTTAAGTTGTCAAGCTTGAGAGTATCCAGCAGAACATCTGAACCTTCAGTCAAAGGTTTTCAAAAAGCAGATATACATTCCATCCCTCAAAACTCCACAAACAATTTCAATGAGGAAGGGGAAACATCTTTGCCTATGCCTAGGACAGCAAAGAAATTGGAACTCTGTGAAAAAACTGCTATACAGGATGGAGATGTCCTGGCAGATATAAAGATTGAGAGTAAGGCAACAGTTAAAGTAGTGAAAGGAGCAAAACGTGGTCGGAAGAGACGAAAAATTAAAGAACCACCCCCTGATCTTGTAACTGATCATGAAGAGCTTCAAAGATTAACAACAAAAAACAAAAATGACAAAAGACAAGATTGTTCTGAACCAGCCAAAAGTTTACTGACAACGTTTAGTATAACTAATGAATGTGCCACTGAGGACCAGAATAATACAGTTACATCGGAGAACAATGATAAGGAGAAAACTACCACTCAAATGTCCACTTCTTTCACTCACCTATCCTCCAATTCAATGAAAGAAGTACAGAAGTACAAAGAACACGATGCTGAACCAAATGGAAACCATTTATTTGCGGTTATTGATAATACAGGACTCTCTGGGGGAGTCTCTAGTGGAATTTGCAACTTAATTTCTAGCAATGTGGTCAAAGAGGAGTCAGAACACATTTTTCTGGATACAAAAATTAAACCCAACATTGAGCTGAAATGTACTCAGCAAACAGATGGACAAAGTGTGGAAATGTCAGGAAAAAAATTACTTGACAACTTGTCTGAAATAGAAAACGCATTTCAAACATCTACAGAACATAAAGTGGATGGCTTCACACAGGATAGTGAGGAATGTGTTGTAATGCCAAAAAAGGTGTCTAAAAAGAAAACAATGAGATCCAAGCCTAAAGAAATAATGAAGAAACCTCTCACATGCAAATACTGTGGTGTTTCCTTTCGGCACATTACAGCATATGCCATTCATCAACGCATTCATACAGGTGACAAACCCTACAAATGCAAGATCTGTGGAAAAACCTTTGCTCAACTGTCTAAACTCAAGTCTCACCGTAATGTACATAAACAGGATACCTCTTTTCCTTGTCCTTGCTGTAGCCAAAAATTCTTGCAGAAAGAAAATTTGCTATGTCATTTTAAAGTCCACCTGCATGAATCAAAAACAATCACTGAACCACAGAAGGGCATTAAGAGCAAGAAAAATACTTTATCAGATGTGTGTTCAGAGACCCCAAACAATCACAGGTGCCTTATTTGCAAGGAAAACTTTGTAAGCCACGTTAAATTGCAGAATCACATGCAATCACATGAAGTGGAGAAGCCCTTGACTTGTAAGGACTGTGGGAAGAAGTTCTGGAAACCATCAAGCCTCACAGCTCATGAAAAAAGCCACTGGCCTGTTAAACCATATGCATGTTCAATTTGTGGAAAAGGATTTAACCAGCTAAAGGCTCTAAAAAAGCATTCTCAAGACCATGCCGGCGAGACCCCTTTCTCCTGCTTTCACTGTGGTCATGCATTCAGTGCCCTGTCTGCACTTAGGATGCACCAGGCATCCAAAACTTGCATTGCAAGGAGGAATGATGGGGCAAGTGGTAACATTGAGGGCTTTATTGTAAGTCAAGGAGTTGATGGTCAAGTGAACACACCAGTATTCTTCAAGTGCCAAATATGCAAACAGCTTTTCAGGAAATGGTGCCAATACACTCTTCACCTTCAAACACATACCAGCTCTCCCCCATACATTTGTTTTTCTTGTGGACAGTGTTATGAGAAGGATTCAGATATGAATGTTCATTGTGAGGTTTGTTGCCAGTCAAGTGGGGAGGAGCAGATTTGTGGTGCATCACTCTCTGAAATCATGCAAGGTGTTTCCCAAACCTACCCTTCAAAGTGTAAACCTACCTCATCTCAGACTCTATCAAGTACAGGATTTCACCTGAATTCCCAAATGCCGACCAGCTCAGAACAACTCCCACAACTGCCTCAATCGATAGATGTGGAACTTACACAAACAAAAGAGACAGATCTTTCTGAAATTCCTAAAATTTATTCTACCCAGTCACCCATCAAGCTCCCAATTGCCCAATCTCCCACTCATTCTGATGTTAGATGTGCTTCCACAAGTAGCTCTCTAGAATGCATTGAAATCACTCGGAGTCTTTGGAAATTCAAGTGTTCACGTTGTGGTCAGCGATTTGAGCAGTACCGGACTTTGAGTGCTCATCTGCAAATGCATGCTCCTGGTTTCAGATATACCTGTGCACATTGTGGACAGTTCTTTGAAAGGTGGAGTAAACTATGGCTACATCAGCGACGTCATCGTCTAAAAAGCCGTTGCTACTCTTGTAATCAGTGCAATCTGCAGTTTCGCTTCTTTAGCTCCTTTAAAGAACATATGATTGACCATGCTGGAGAGAAAGCGTATGCTTGTTCGCTCTGTCCCAGAACCTTCATTCAGGAGCCAAGCTTACATGCTCACCAATGTGAGTCTCATAAACAACTTTGTAAAAGTCTCAAATGTGATGTCTGTTCTAAGACTTTCAGTAGTTTAACAAACTTAATCAAGCACAGTCTTCTGCACAATGGTTCTACTTCTCATATTTGTCTCCCTTGCAATCTCTCATTCACAAATTCAAGAGTCTTAAAGGAACACTTGAAAACACACACCACATACCATGGTCCGGTCCTCCCTGATATTCCTTCAAAGCCTCTCGATTTTCCTCACAAATGCAAGAGATGTAAAGCTAGCTTTTCAACGGGGGATTTGCTCTACGCTCATCAGATACGCCATTCCAGAGATGCAAAGAGTCATGTCCATTCAGCAATAGTACCTACCTCAAAATTGTCAGATTCTTCTTGTAGTGAGACACCATCTACCCTATCCTCCACTCGAAGGAATCATATATCAAACCTCAAACTTGATGGCATACCCGATGATGAAAGCCTGTATGTTTATTCCCACCCTGACAGGCTCTATGTCCCCTTTAGTCGCAGAGTACAGATTCCAGTCATTAATTTGGACCCTGATGAACATGAGGATATCTCAAACTCTCAGAATACCAGTCCTGAACTTCCAAACAGTGAAATCACTGCTCAGTCTGACAGCACACATCTACCTCAGGCCACAGCAGGTCAGGAAACCACCAACCTAGACTCAAGTGAAAGCCCAAAAGAGATGGCAAATGGTGAACATAATTACAGCTGCACGCATCAGAGAACTAGATTTGTGGAGACAAGTGTTGATATGGAGGTAGAAGCGACTGCTCAAGAAGAAGAGTCAGGGGAGAGATTCGAATGTGCAGACTGCACTGAAAAACTTAGCAGCGTGCTGAGCCTTTATGAACATTACATACTTCATGCAATGGGAGATACGTATGTACAAGTACATTGAACTTTGATAATGTTGGAAGGTAGATGCTTTCCCAAGTGTTGACACTATTATCTTTTTTACACTTTGTTTTTGCATGTTTGAAGCAAATATCGGCTAAATGTTTATCTTGTATTTTAGTTGATCTTGAATTTAGTTGATTACCATACCTCTTTCCTCTAACATGCTCTTTGAGCCCTCAGGTTCATTTAGTTTAAACCGTTGTTGCCCACTAGCCATGTGCTACAAGGGTCATGTCACTATGCCTTCTCAAATCATCTCTGTACTGCTCATTTGTCTTGATTTCTTAATTTGTGCCTTCAGTGAGAGGTTTGGTTCTGTAAAGGATCTGTAAATAGCTATAAATAAAACTTCATAACTACACATCCTGCTAGTCCTCTCCGTCAAAATCTCGTAGTTACACGTTTTCAATTGAAATTTTGTAATATTGAGATGTGGTTAAATATAGGTTAACCTAGAGCATTCATATATTATGTCTGGATGGGACACAAATATAATCTATATTGTAAATAATGTGTAGAACATTTGATAATTTCTATATGCTTGTCATTGTAGTCAGATTTCTTTTAATAAAATATACTACGTGTCGTGTAATATTTTCATTATATTGTTACTGACAAGCCAAGGTAAAACATTTTTCTTAGCGAAATAAGGACCTGTAAGGCTTCTGGTCAGATGTAATTTTAATGGCAATAGAAAAAAGAAAACCATTCAGATTACATGTCTTGCATGGGATTATCAAATATTTAATCAATTGCGCACAGCAAAAAGGGAAAAAAGCAAGCCATGTGTGAATTTTTGAGGTACCACACAACATTGCAGTAATTTGGTTATGAATGTCTGATTGCAACTCATTATGCATCTAAATCTGCTTTTATAAAGACTTCTGCTGGCCACTTGAATTTAACTCATTTCTGCATTTCACATGTCAAATGGCTTGTACAGCAATCACAATCAGTCACAGAACACTTGAATTTATTTCTTCTTCTCATCATCTTTTTTCCCCTCTTGTTTGTTACCACTCTGAGAGGCCAGGGAGCCCATGGCATTGCGGATGGCCTCATTGTTGGGGTCAACACCAGGTAGATTCTCCAGGACACTTTGGAGGAATTCTGGGTCCTGCATTACATCATAATCATCCTCTTCCTGTAGAATCAGTTAAAAAGTGCAAGTCACCAGGGGTTACTGCTCAATTTGAAACTATAAAATTAAAAATGAAGTTATTTTTTAGAATACTGAAACTGATGAGCCCAGCAGACAATATTTTTAATTACCTTAGATTCTGCAGTGTCCATTGGAGCTCCCGTATCCATTGATTCTCCAAATTCTGACATAAGAGGGATAATGAGCAATATTACATCCTATGTCAAGCACACAATGTTCTAAGATTAACAAGGTACAAGAGGGCGAGACAAACCTCCACCTGCCAGGGACATCTGCATGGCATAGGCTATCTGCTCCTCCTCTGTCATGCTGCTGAAGTCTGGCAGTGCTGCCACAGCACTCTCGGGCTGAGAGACAGACATCTTCAGAAGAGCTTCCTCTGATTCTTAGGGAGAGAACAAACAGCACCGTCTGCTACGGGAATCGACTTCAAGGTAAAAGGAATAGGCCGCACAAATGAGTCAACTGATTCAGCATTTAAAAAAAGGTTATTCAGGACTGTGTTAATGATATGAAAGGCAGAAGAGAAGAAAAAAAAAACGTATTTATTTTATCTAGTAAAATATATACCAAATATATATATGATGAAATATTTGTAATTTGATCAAATTTATAAGATCAAAAGGCTTTTCTGTAGCTCAAGCAGTAGAGCGTTGGTGCTTGCAACGCCAAGGTCATGGGTTTGATTCCCAGGGAAAGCAAGAACTGATAAGAAAGTAAATGTGTATCTTGGAATGCAATGTAAGTCGCTTTGGATAAAAGAGTCTGCTAAATGCATAAATGTAAAAAAAAAAGATATAAAATGTTTTTTTTGTACCATATGCGGTAACACTTTATATATAACTTTAATTAATAAATCATTAACAAACATTATATAATGCTTAACAGATCATTAGTTATTATATATTCACAGCTAGAAATATGAGATAATGTGCTTGTTAATGTTTACTAAAGAACCCAATTAAATATTACATGATTGATTAACAGATCATTATTTAATGTAAATTAAAATGCTTACAAATGTCATTAAACTTTCAATTCATATGATCATGCACTTCTTGAAAAAATTTACAAATGTCATTAAACATCAGTTCATTTATTACTTTATGCACTTTATTTTTAAATTTACAAATGCAAAAAGTCGTTTGGTGGCTATGAATGATCCGGATGTTTAACAGAAAATTTAACAATATAAGAATGTCTGGTCCCACTTTATATTAGGTTTCTTTAAATACTATGTACTTATGTAGAGGGGAAAAAAGTACTTTTTGTTTTCTATTGCAAAACACTTGCCGCTATTGAGGTGTGATTCAGGTAATGTTAGGGACCGGTTTGGTGGTGCGGGTAGGTTTAAGGGTTTGTTAAGGTGTCGACAGTGTACAGAGGTCAATTTGATTACTATAAGGGGACACAGTTCAAAATTTTATATTACATTGTTTTGATAAACGAACAAGTATTTTCTTGAAAATTTGACTTTTCTCCTGTTGATGTATGATTCGAGGAATATCCTGTTGAGGCAATAAAAATATATTTTGCACCCAAATTACAAGTATGTGGTGCTATTATGTCTTTAGCAAGCATTTAGCTAAACTTAACCCTGTACACAAACATTGTTACAGCAGCTAAAAGTCCAATGTCCATAAAGGTACTAAATGATTCATAGTAAACATATAAACGATGAGTAGTTTCAACTTTAGATTGGGTACTGCAAAAACATGAACAAATAATTCATAAATGCTTTGTAAAGATGAGTAAATAGGGTGAATTCAGGTCATTTGGAGCACTTTGCCATTGAGATAACTAATGGTTAGTAAATGTGTATAAACATTTATAAATAATGAATGGTTTCAGCTTTAGATTGAGTACTGCAAAAACATGAACAAATAATTAACAAATGAATTGTAAAAAAAAAAAAAGAAGACCAAATGTATGACCTTTACAGACTGCGGTTGATATAATAAATAAATAATAATGTGCATAAATAATAAATAATAATATGTTAACATGAATAGTATTAAAAGTGCTTAAAATGACTATTTTTCCACAACATTTGTAAATTTCAAACAATTTATAATTGGGTAATGTGAAAATTGTAGCAATTTTATTAACATTAAATAATGATCTGATAATCATTACATAATATTTAATAAGTTCATTAGTAAACATTAGCCAGCACATTATCTCAAATTTCTAGCTATGTGAATATATATTAACCAATGATCTGTTAAGCGTTATATAATGTTTGTTTAACATTTATTAATGAAAATTAATATGAAGTGTTACCCTTCCGATTATTTGCCCAGAACCACTGTGCCCACCACCATCCTTCAGTATTTCAAACATCCACACGTGTTTACCGTCAGCGGTTGCGGCGGGAACGCCAGCTTCAGTTGCTGATTGGACGGCCGCCCTACGAGCCTCCTCTTCCTGCCTCTGCCTTTGTTCCTCCATAGATACACGCAGCGCCTGTATATCAAAAGCAACTCGAATAAACATCTCCCCTTTTAATGTCACCAGAATAGATCTCAAGTGAGATTGCCCTAAACAACATTCTAAAATTGTTGCTAATTGTTTTAATAATTTGAATCAATGTGGGGGAATTGATCATTCAATAATGCTGCTGAAGTTGTACAAACAGAGCAATGCTGATGTACCACAGAGCTTTAGTGTTCACCCATTTTGAGAAGAGATGCACCGAAATTAAAATTCTGGGCCGAGACAGAAAATTCAGGACGAACTTGGCTGAAAACCGAAAATGTTCTTATTTAAAAAAAAAAAAATGTTTTGTATAATTGTATTAATCTTAGACTTTTTAATTAGTTTTTACCTGAACAACAAACTTAAAGTTTATGTAATAATCCAGAAATAGAATCATAGAATTAGGTTTCTACTCCAGTTTGTTGGTGAAATATAAACATTTAAACAATGGCTGTAATAAATAAGTTGTTTTCAAGACAGATTTATCCAAACATACATTAAATAATGAATACATCACTGACATGTTAAGTATAAATATAATGAATATGTAATACATTGCATATATTTAGTAAAATGCTGCTCTCTAAGAGTAATTTATTTCTTGCTAACTAATGAGATATAGAGATTGAATGGCTTTCCTGGGGTAATTGTAATGTTATGGGATATCATGTTTACAAGCTGTTTTATTGAAATCTTTCCAGTAAGTCATTCTATATCTTTCTTTAGTAAAAAATGTGGTGATAAAATCAACTAAATGTGAAAATTGAAACCGTTTCATATGAAAGAAATCAACACTAGCAAGAAATAGACGCTGGAGAGTGCGCCAAATGGAGAGCCGCTAATGACTGTTTCCGTCATTGATTTCGTCCCTTTAAAACCATTTCGTCAGCCAAAATTTCAGAATAAACGCTTTACTTATAAACGTCTCTGCATTTTAAACAGATATAAAAGTAGTGTCACCGGTAAAAAAAATGACATTTCACTTTTACGTTTATGGATTCATTCTTCAGTGCAATTATCCCAGAGATGAATTTGTATATTACCAGGGCCAGCTCTGGGTCCGCACTGGGGTCCACTCCAAACTCAAAATCACTTGCACCCAGGCCCATCATGGTACCACCCTCACCAGCCAGGATGGGAGAAGAGAGCAGGGCATCAGCCAGGCTGGGCCCAGGGGGAACCGTGACCAGATGAGAACCTGTGCCCTCCTTTCCATTCAGAGTGTTCACAAACGCAGTCAGTTTCTCTGTGTTCACCTCCTGAACAGGTTGATTAAAAGGGACAAAGCGAAAAATGTAGGTAAGAAAATTCTGAAAGATTTTTTTAAGTGATTAACAGGTAAGAAAGTTTTGAGCAGTCACCTCTTCTCCGAAATTGATCAGATCTACATTGACTTTTTCTTTTTTCAACCGTTTTGCCAACTTCACCAGCTGGAAAAGATTTGAATAAAAAAATGGTTATAACTTTTACAACCTAAAATAAAGACAGTTTGATCAACATGGAAGATGAAAAGCATTTGTCATTTATGAATAATAAATAAATAAAAACATACATCTTTTTCGTTGTCCTCCACTGGGCTGCCCACAAAAGCGACAATCCTCATCTTGTGGTTCTTGCCTTGTCTATGCTTTAGTGCCAACTACATGTAGACATACACAAAAGTAAATGTTAGAGGATTAAAATACTACTTTCACTTTTCAAAGAAAAATTACCAAAACCTGTACGAGTTTCTTTCTTCTGCAGAACACAAAAGGAAAATTTCTGAAGAATTTACAGGAAGTTTTTTCGAAGCAATTACAAAGAATGGAGATTAAGGGTTCAACATATATAAGAAATATATATATATATATATATATTATATATGTCGTCAATTATTACATCTGTTTAAAATGCAGAGACGTCTATATATAAAGTGTTTATTCTGAAATTTTGGCCCACGTAATGGTTTTAAAGGGCCGAAATCAATGACGGAAACAGTTGTGTTTCATTAGCGCCTCTCCAATGGCGCATTTTGACTCTCCAGCGTCTATTTCTTGCTTGTGTTCATTTCTTTAATATGAAACAATTTCAATTTTAAAATTTAGTTGATTTTATCACAAAATTGTTCACTAAAGAAATATATAGAATGACTTACTGGAAAGATATCAATAAAACAGCTTGTACATGATGTCTATTAATTGTTTTTTGTTTATCCAACACACACATATATATATATGAAGAGTTCAGATGCAAAAGCCTCTAAATGCCATCTGAAAATTTCTTCTAAAATGATCATTTTTATCAAGCTCGTATATTTAAGTTCAATAATTTCACTTAAATGGCAAGGAAAATTACCCATTAATTGTCATTTAAGTGAAATTACTGAATTTAAATATACGAGCTTGATAAAAATGATAATTTTAGAAGAAAATTTCAGATGGCATTTAGAGGCTTATGCATCTGAACTCTTCATATATATATATATATATATATATATATATATATATATATATATATATACACTCACCGGCCACTTTATTAGGTACCCCATGCTAGTAACGGGTTGGACCCCCTTTTGCCTTCAGAACTGCCTCAATTCTTCGTGGCATAGATTCAACAAGGTGCTGGAAGCATTCCTCAGGGAGTTTGGTCCATATTGACATGATGGCATCACACAGTTGCCGCAGATTTGTCGGCTGCACATCCATGATGCGAATCTCCCGTTCCACCACATCCCAAAGATGCTCTATTGGGTTGAGATCTGGTGACTGTGGAGGCCATTTTAGTACAGTGAACTCATTGTCATGTTCAAGAAACCAATTTGAAATGATTAGAGCTTTGTGACATGGTGGAAGTAGCCATCAGAGGATGGGTACATGGTGGCCATAAAGGGATGGACATGGTCAGAAACAATGCTCAGGTAGGCCGTGGCATTTAAACGATGCCCAATTGGCACTAAGGGGCCTAAAGTGTGCCAGGAAAACATCCCCCACACCATTACACCACCACCACCAGCCTGCACAGTGGTAACAAGGCATGATGGTTCCATGTTCTCATTCTGTTTACGCCAAATTCTGACTCTAACATCTGAATGTCTCAACAGAAATCGAGACTCATCAGACCAGGCAACATTTTTCCAGTCTTCAACTGTTCAATTTTGGTGAGCTCTTGCAAATTGTAGCCTCTTTTTCCTATTTGTAGTGGAGATGAGTGGTACCCGGTGGAGTCTTCTGCTGTTGTAGCCCATCCGCCTCAAGGTTGTGCGTGTTGTGGCTTCACAAATGCTTTGCTGCATACCTCGGTTGTAACGAGTGGTTATTTCAGTCACTGTTGCCCTTCTATCAGCTCGAACCAGTCTGGCCATTCTCCTCTGACCTCTGGCATCAACAAGGCATTTCCGCCCACAGAACTGCCGCTCACTGGATGTTTTTTCTTTTTCGGACCATTCTCTGTAAACCCTAGAGATGGTTGTGCGTGAAAATCCCAGTAGATTAGCAGTTTCTGAAATACTCAGACCAGCCCTTCTGGCACCAACAATCATGCCACGTTCAAAGTCACTCAAATCACCTTTCTTCCCCATACTGATGCTCGGTTTGAACTGCAGGAGATTGTCTTGACCATGTCTACATGCCTAAATGCACTGAGTTGCCGCCATGTGATTGGCTGCTTAGAAATTAAGTGTTAACGAGCAGTTGGACAGGTGTACCTAATAAAGTGGCCGGTGAGTGTATACATGTTAGATAAATAAAAACTTCTAAAGCCTTCAGAACAGAAGTAATCACTCAAAGCTATCGTATGGCTTTAGAAGGATTAATATACAGTACAGGAGTCATATGATTCTTGTGCATGGCTTATCAATGAAAAAGTCATGCAGATTTGGAAAAAAAAAATAAGGGTAAGTAAATGTTAATCTTTTTGGGTCAACTACCCTTTTAAGCGTCAATGAATGTACTTACATGTGCCACTCGTATGCCGGTGCAGAAGCAGATTTTTCCCACTGGCTGCACCGCATGGAGCTTTGAGAGTATGCGGCCGGAGTCCGGTGTTAAAGTGGTGAGGACCTCACAATTACTGCACGAAACCAAACCATGTGTTATTACATGCAAACATCACCACTGCATGAAATAAAATACAACACAAACAAACTTACTTGGCCATTGTGATTAGGCCCACATTGTTCTCTGGGTTGCTACGGGTCTTTGAGTGACAGACAATGTTGACCGCATCCTGCTGTGCCTGTAACCTGGTGGGCAGAAAGTCTCCATTCCTCATGTATTCACTGTTGTCCACACTGTAAAGACAAATGAAGGCAATCAGCATGTTTCCTATTTAAAACAATCATTTATTTTATGGAAGTATAATCGTGTAAACTGGGTGATGAGAGGCACCCAGACATGCGGTCTGTATCCTTAAAGTCAGCATTAAACGCAAGTTATGAAAGTGTTTTCTTCCCTATTGTGCTGTATATCAGAATTAAACAGCTTCTTGAATGAGTAAAAATTTAGGCCGGGACTTGATTTTGTCCATCGGGAATTGATTGGATAGTTGTGGTTTGCTATTGCTATGATCTCATGTGAATGTCAGAGAAGAGATGTCAATGCAAGAGGGATAGGGTTAAAGATTACGAGGGCACATGAATTGAATAAAAATAAGCATGTGCACAAATCAATCATTTATTATAAATGGCAATATTTCATAAAAAAATAAGAATTGTCAAATTTGATTTCATGGTGACTTTAAATGCCTGCGAAGACTACGTCAATTAGATGAGCCCCTATGGCCAGCTATGAATGTGTCATTCCAGGACCTGCTAGGACAAGTAGTTTCATCATGATTACAGTCATTGATAAGGCATCGTCCACTACTGGCTAAACGTCAGATCTGCCAGACAGACGACAACTCTTCCTCCAACCAAATGTCGGCATGATGTATTCCGAGCTGGATGAAAAAGCCTGGTTTCTCCCAAGGTTTTTTTCCATCCCCATTTCTGTCACCCGATGGAGTTTGGATTCCTTGCCACTGTCGCCTCTGGCTTGCTTAGATGTGCTTTAAAATATTTGGGAATATTATTGATTTGACTACATGACACTATCGGATGAGAACAAAACTTGAATTGAGCTGGATGATGACACTACTGTCTTCTGTACAGATGCTTTATAAGTTAGCTGATTGATTCGACTTCATTTCATAATTGACGAATTTCATAACATCAACATTGAACCGAGGCCAGCTGAATAACGATACTATAGACTTTTTTTTTTTAGAGCTGCTATAGCTGAACTGAACTCATTTCATAATTGATTAACATTACACGGTTATTGAATTGAACGCTGAACGGCCTTCAGTATAGTATAAAGCGCTATATAAATAAAGGTGACTTGACTGTCTGACATTTGCAAGGAATGAAGAATCAAACACTAGCACATAGTGATCCAATTTTCATTTGCATAACAGCCAGAGTGAGTGAACTAGATCCTAGCAGTAGACAACTGCTTTAGTTAAATGACTGTGTATCAAAAACAAGCAAGCTGCCTATCTAGACAGCATTAGAGGGCGTTGGACCAACAACACATTCGGTATCACTTCATGACAGTTCTAGAAGACTGAATAAGATGCTATCAGACCGAGTTCACAAACAAGTGGTCATTGTTTATGGGTCATTAATGTGTTTGTGTGTTAGTGATCTGTTTCTTTATGATATATCTACCTGCTGAATAATGACTCAGGAGAATGTCATTCTAACCAGAAAGCGACTATTGAATTATCTTACTTGTTCCCAACTATGAGCTCAAAAGTGTGACAGAACGAAAAACCTACGTATTTACAATAAGTCGGAGGAGTATTAACTGTACAAAAGGCGCATTTATATCTAAAACAACGCGTTTGTTTATTTCTTACCAGACCATAGTACTTTCGAGCCCCATCTTGGAAATCCTCTAGTCCGTTTCCCAAAGTGACGGCATCGCTGATTGGTTTACAGGTGTAGGATACTGACGATATTTGTAAAAGCAAAGCTGATTGGTCGACAGCTCCGTCGCTGCTTCTCTTCCCGGTCGCGGCGTAGACATGTTTTTGTAAATGCGTAGCGCCTACATGTGGTCGGAGGTCACGTGTCTGAGAACAGGATCGTTCACACCAAAAATTAAAATGTCCTCACCTTGTTGTGCCCTGTCTATGGTTGTGCCAAACTTTATCCCTCCCCCCGCGAAACACAACAGTGAATTTTAAGGAAAAGGCTAAATGTTAAGGACTAACAGCCTCAGTCACTATTCACTTTCATTGCATCTTTTCAAAAACAATGAATGTTAATGTCAACTGAGACAGTCATTTTGCCTAACATCTCTTTTGTTTTTGGAACAACATGAAATTTAAGTGCAGATGTAAACCCTAAAACACATACAATGCCTTTAACAGGCTTGAAGAGATCATCTGATAGTAAAGCATAACACAGGAAGTTGATCTATTGACATTTTTTCAGTGTTGTTTATTTCATTAATTTGCATACAGCATGAAATGTTACAATATTTTCCACTCCAAAAGTCTCAATATCCTCTGACAGAGAGCTGTAATACATGAATGTCATTGTAAGAGAGAGATATTTTAAATTATTTTTAAAGCTACTACGGTACTTAAGACAATTCTCAGTTAAAGGCAATAAGCATTTTCAGAGCAAACAGCAATTGCACAAGAATCCCAGATCGTGAGTGTACAGTAAAAAATGCATTCACCACCCCAAACAAATTTACACAGCCACCAGGTGTCAGAACTTGCATACCTTGTCACATAAAAACCTGCAATAGACACTTTGGAACTTGAGATAAAGAAATAAATTACAAGCAAACATACAAATAAATACAACTTTGTACAGGAATGTTTTTTGTTCATAAAAATTGTCACAGAAAAAGTTCCAGCAATGTTCCCTTACTCACCTACGTATCCACATTTCATAATATTTGCATCTTCGTCATTAATGTCTCTGCATTCAGGGTGACTGATTAGCATGCACATTCAAAAATGATGAAAAAAACAAAAGTTTTGTTCAGGATTTAGTTTAGTTTGAATTCAATTCTCTCAACAAAACAGAGGCATCAAGAGAAGTTCATACGCTACACAGTCTATGTAACCTAAATTTCATTAAAGGATAACAGCACAGATGCTATATATTGTTTTACAGTAGCTGTTCTGCCAGGTCTGTCTTACTGTGCCCTAAAAAACTGACATTTTAAAATCAATGCTAAAAAAATAAAATGAAATCACACACACAAAAAAAAAACATTAGTCCTGCAAGCCGAAATACTGAATTAGGTCTTTTATACATGGTTTAATATTTCTGCCAATGTTACAAAAGTGATCTGTTGCCTTGTTTGCTTTGGCTTTCTTTTTTTCTTTTCCTTTTTTGCAAACAATGTTAAGTTTAAGTAAATCAATCTCCAGACTAACTCCAAATATTTTTTTTAATGAACTATGTTAATAGTTCAGTCACACATGACAGAGTAATATTTGAGAGAGAGAGAGATACTGTGTTTTTGTATAGGTGACCCACGCAATTCGGCACAATCCACTTGCAGGCATCATGCACAGTGAAAGGCTTTCTGTTAATTACAAGGCAAAATAACTCTTGTGATTAAGGCACATTTAAATATAAAAAAACAAACACCACAGTACTGCATTTGAACCAATTTCTAAAATCAAATCGAACCCATTTTACAGATTCAAAGTTTTGAAAAAAAAAAAGTATTGTTACATGATTGTTCAGGCAACCTGATCTGGATTGACTCATCCAACATGTTTTTGTTTTTTGGGGGGTAGATAATCATGACATATTCCTAAAATGTCTTTAAAACTCACAACCAGCCAAATTTCCTTTCTACCCTTAGCAAAGTAAATAACGACTCCAGCAGATAGCTCTCCTTGGCAAACTAAGAGAGAAAAAAAGACGCATGGTCAAATGAAGTCCACTACAAAACACTCACAGAGGTCCTCAAAAGACCAGTTTGTTCTCCAAGAGCCAGTCCCATGATGCAAAGTTCTCATCACTGTTCTTCTGCTTTGAACATTATCAGGTCCTGGGAGTTCTTGTATAAATGAAACTATTTAAGAACAGTGATATCACACACTGTTGAGGTATACAGTGGCATCTTTCTTTTGGTTCCATTTCTTAGCAGCAAAATTGGATGTACTGACATCCAATATATATATATATATATATATATATATATATATGGGGGGGGGGGATACTTTATCCTAATGTTTTACAGTTTTAAGAACATGTGCACTTCTCTCTTTTGTAATCCAGATTCTCCAGTTTTCACTTCCTCGGATGTTTACAGCAACTCCATCATCCTGTTCCGATATCCTTAAAAGAGAGTAAATCTTCGTCTTTGAGGGCTTTATTTTGTCCTGTTCATCCATAGTCTTTCACTGCAACAGCAAAAGAAAGAAGAAATAAAACTCTTTTACAACAGGGTAGAATGACTAGACAAGTAATGCAGCATGCTTTGTAGGAGGCAGTTCACATATCCTGTTAAATGACACAAAGACCACATTGTAATGTGCAAAAGGGCATGCACTCTTGAGGATAGAGAGATCCTTTCATTTCACAATCTTATTTGTTTGTTGGCATGGTAGACCAGAGGTTCCCAAATGGTTTCACTTAAGACATTATATTGGATGTAAAGTGGTAACGCAACATTGTATCAAATTGGTTATCGTCCTAAAACTAAAAAAAGTGTTGTGAAATCAAATATTCAAACCACGTATAGCTGGAACATTATGCAAACTTATTAAAGGGATAGTTCACCCAAGAATGAAAATTCTGTCATAATTTACTAACCCTCAAGTTGTTTCAAACCTGTATGAATTTCTTTTTTTGTAGAAAGTTGTAATTGCTGCCTAACATTTTCACTGGTTCTGCTTAAATTAATCTAAGCACATAACATATAATATTAAGGCTGTATAATACTGCCATATGGACAATACTTTGATACACTGATCTCTGACTGATAACAGAATATTTCCTAAATTGTACCAATGAAACAAGAGTTTTCTGTAAAGCTGCTTCGAAAAAACTGAATAAACAATAAACTTGAATTGAATTAAATTTGTGACCCACTAGTTGAGAACCACAGTTGTAGTAGGACATAAAAACACTTTACTCATAGAATTTACTCTATGTCGTTTAGTCTACTACACTGAAACAGATTGCAGCCCAGAACAAAATGTCTCTTACTTCTGACGTGCTTGTCTGTGGAACAATCTCGCTGAGTGAAATGACTTCGATATCCAAACTTTCCCCTGATGACTGAGCAGCTATACTGCTACGACTGGAAATGAAATGCATCAATAGACATATTTATTATTAGTGAAAAGAGTGAGTGTATGTGATCGAATGAATAGTAGTAGTTGTAAAACTCATCTTTCATCAAATTCAACCAAATCATCTAGCCTAACCTTCACATACCTCAGAACTGGAGTGTTCGTGGAGGGCCGGGAGCTTACAGGAGAGGTTGCTGACAGGGTTGTATCAGCTGAGCTACTCGTGATCTCATCTTCAGTAATCTGTTGTGGGAGCAGGTCAGGACGAGCACCTGAAAAGAGAAGAAGTGCCAAAAGAGTGAGCGCTCCTTAGTCAATAATGATTTAGTTGAAGGGGAAATCATGTTGATAATGTCTCAATCTAGGTCTCTAAAATGTCAGATGATTCAAATGCAAAAGCCTCAGACTGGAGGCTTTATTGGCATAGTCCTTGCATGTGCCGTAGGGGGCAGACATTTACAGCTCTCATTTGCTCTGTGTAGCACACAAAGGCATCTAACTTTTAAACTACCGTACACAAAGTTATCATGTAGTCTCTGCTAGCATTGAAAACATAGCAGAACACGAACAATGTTTTCCATACTAGCAAGAGCAAGTTAAGCAACCCTGGCCACACCGCTGAGACCCACAAGTAGAATCTAAGTATATAGATTGCAGGCAAAAAAGTAAGAGACCCATTCTTCTCAGATCAGAGTTTATACATTCATCGAAATCAAGCAATCATCAAAACAACAGATGTAGAATATGTCAGTACCATATCAATTAGATCCAATATTGGAGATGTTTTTTTTTAAATATATCAGTATTGGTTGCTATTAAAGTAAATGGGATGAAATTGAAGCATCAAAAGACCTTCCGTATTTTGATATATCTGAGTGTAAAGGGTGATTGAAAAAGAAACAACGCAGGATGCTTGGTTCTATTCATCAGTTGTTGATTGCATTTTGAGAAGTGGGTGTTGAATTCTAAAGTGGAGGCAGATGAATGCAAGCTTGAGGTTTAAGCGGATCAGTTATGATATCGTGATTAAAAAATTTCATTTCATGCCGACTTTAAATATTTAATTTAATTGCCGTCAACTAATTCTGTTTAAGTTAATCTTTGAAAATGAATCATTAAATAACATTGTTAAATGTAATATTTAGTCATTCTGTAAATTATAATTTTATAATGAATAAATTCACTTTGATAACTTAAAAGGATTTACATTAGTTTCAAGAACTTTAGATTTAATCTATTCTGACAACAGCAGTGTCGGGGTCCTCCCTATAATACGCAAAGTACGCACGTTGCGTTGGGCCCACGAACCACTTTCCCTTGCTCTCAAGAATGATTTAGGCCGTGTGTCCACCAAAGCGTTTTTCCACGCGCCTGGCGTATGTTTTCAATTGTTTTCAATGGGAGCGCTGCGTTTTTTAAACGCCATGAGCGTATCGAGCCGCTGAAAGTTTTTTTCACGCTGAAGCGCTGAGAGCTCGGCGTTTTTACAGGTCGCCGAGAGTTGAAAAATGTTCAACTTTGGGTAAAACACAGCGCTCATCACTGTCACTTTTTACCCAGCCGTCCAATCACAGTGGAGGAGGGGCGGGACTAATACCACACCGACCAACTGTCACAACATTCTTTCTGTACAACGACATCAACCAGCAGAGCTAACCAAACAAAATGGATGAAAAATACATTTTTAGTATGAAACAAATTATCTGCAAAATCTGTTACAAGTAAACTGTGCTGCGGATATTCTGTATCATAGCAACGCAACGTCTCAACGGAAAAAACGCTGCGCTGCCAAAACGCTCTCAAGCGCCCACAGCTAGGCGTCTTCAGCAGAGCGTCTAGCGTTTTCAGCAGGCTAAAAACACTTTGGTGGACACACGGCCTTAGGGTTGTGTTTTAGTTTTGTTTGGTTTTGGTTTCCAACAATTATGAAAACATGATGCAGCTTCTTTCCTTTAAGCAGTGCGCGGTCACCATACGTAACATCCAAATCAGTCAAATCATGTTACGTCATGTGTAAAAGAGTATTAAGCTGTTCAACAGGTGACTTTCTGTCCACGCGATCAAAGATGGAGAGAAACACAGACAAGTACAGGCTTCGGGTGTGCGCTTCAAGGGACAAGTACAGGCAAAAATATGCCAAAATGTCCATCTTGGGGACTTTTAATTTAAACGCATTCAGTTATGTCTTCAGTGAACAAACAGCTGGGAAAGTAATCGAATGCTTGTCAGTTTATTTGGTCTTAAAGTGACAGCAGCCTAATAAACCCTCTGCTCTCTCTGTCATTTAATGTTATTCAAACAACAAAAGAAAACGAGAGAATCATTCACTGCTCTTCACTGAATAACATTGGTAACTTTAATATGAATCAGTGTATATGCAATTCATACAGTGAAGACTATGTAATGTTTTATTTTATTTATGTTTTACATTTGATTATTTTATTAAATGTCTGTATTGTAGGCTATTATTAGTAGTAGGCTGTTAGTAGTATTGTATTTTTATTTGTTTATTGTATTAATGAACGTTACAACTCACTGTTGTTGGTTGACAGTGAAACTGCTCTGAAAGAACAGATTAAGGGTTGGGGGTCATTTTTAGGTTTTTATGAACGCATTGAGTGACGGGCCCCCGGACAAAGTTTGGCTCAGGGCCCCCAGAAGTCCAGGACTGGCACTGGACAACAGTATATAATTTGAATATCTATATCTGTCCTCCATCCCGACACAGGATCAACAAGGAAACTTCCAAAACTGGTTGAGGAAACAATCTCAACCAGTCTAGAAATATGGCTAATTATTTACATTTAAGCCATTTAGTATCAAGAAAGAATTATTTTGGTTACCACAAGAATTTAAAGCCTTGACTCTTATCTTGCTCAGACACCCTGCTTAACCTTCCCTTTTCTATTTATCTCTCAATGTGTTCTCATACCGCTGTCTCCTTGATTGTCTGGGCTGGACAGCTGCACTGTAGTCTGCTGTGGCTGTGTTTGTTCTGCTGCTACAGGAAGGGATTGTTGTGACTGTACTGCGATGTTTGACTTCTTTCCAACAGACACGGCCCCTCCTCGACTTTTCTTTGAGGGAGATGTTTTTACTAGCGTAAGAAAGAAAAAATAATCTTTAATGTGTCAGCACTTTAATGCAGCAGTTGCAGATGTTTCAATGTAACTCTCAAACTTACATGTAGGTTTTTTGAAGACTGCGCTGCACATAAACTTCTGGAAACGATCTGCGTAGAAACTCGGCCGGTGCACGGATACCGTGTCCTGCAGAGGACGTCATCAAATAGTAGACAAAACATAAATCATTTTTCATTTTATTTGTTCAGTTCGCTTTTTATTCAGTGTTTGATATGGGGTGTGTGACATACCCCATCATGCAGCAGAGCTTTCCATGAGTGCTCCAACTTCTTTACAAGCCTAAATACAGAAAGTTATTAGCAAATTATAGGGATTTATTATTAAGAAAACACAAAGATGTGGAAATACAGTCTACCTATAAGATTGGAGGATATCAATGATGCCGATGAAAACCAGCAATCTTTCTCCTTTTGAATTGAATGCTGGAATTCCTCCCATGCTGCAAAGAAAAAACAAATATTGCCTGTTAACAGCTGTCCAGGCACAAAGTAATAATTTCTCAGGAAGAATAATTATAACAGTACAATAGCATCTCTGACCAAGGGATGTCACATTGAGTGACTTTACCTAACTTTTTTCTCATATTTCTTTGGTTTTAATATTTATATGTGGTGAAAAAATCTATTTCAAATAAATGCTCTTCTTTTGAACTTTCGATTCATCAAAAAAATCTGGGAGAAAAATTGTATCACAGTTTCCACAAATATTATACAGCACAACAGTTTTCAAAATTGATAAGAAATGTTCCTTGAGCACCAAATCGGCATAATAGATTAACACTAGATTAATGTATACTGAAAATTCAGTTTTGCCATCACATCAATAAATTACATTTGAAAATATATTAAAATAGAAAACAGCTATTTTAAATAGTAAAATAAAGACTGTATATTTGGTCAAATTGCATCAGAGACCCATTTCAAAAATCTTACCTACCTTAAACTTTTAAACAGTGTAAATGATTACAAAAAAGGTTCTGTAGCCAAACACACAGACGGTCTTGTGGTATTTTTTGGTGCTTTGCCGTTTCAAGGTGCCAGTCAAAGGTTGATCACTCACCTTTCGTAGGGCTGTGGTGATGACTTCCCCTTGGTCTCCCCTTGAATAGACTCAATGGCTGTGCAGTAAAGGGGCTTCTGGCCTGGTGCCTTTTTCTGGGTATCGGGCACTGCAGTAGACACCTCTTCACCTGCCCTGTCCAAGTTGTGGATACCCATCAGTAGACTGTAGTCCATGATCTTAAAGCTCTGTAGTACCTACAGATAAAAGGATATATAGAGGAAGTGTGAAAGGCACATTTAGCAGATCAAAAAATGTATCTGATTCACACATGTCATGTAGTAGGTAATACCAGACAGATGCAAAGAGAGATGTGCCATCTCAGTAATTCATTACGGTAAGATTACAGCGATTTTTACCTTCTGTAAAAAGGTCTGAAAAAAATTACCTCAGGTAAATGCCTGTTTAAAAGTAGTTTTCCACATTTTTTCAAGTATGGAGGCACTTCCTTCACAAATCATACAGTTGCGTTCTAGGCGGTGGGACAAGGCAAAACTCAAGTGTTTTCCGCATACCATTCAGATCAAAAAGAAGGTCGAAAGCACTTGTCAGGCGCACAAAGCTTCTTTTAGCTTTAGGTAAGTGCTTATTACCAAAAGAATCCAATCAGAAGTTAATTAATAAATCGTTATATAGATTATGCATTTGCAAACGTGATATTAGGAAGCAACGCAATACGCACATGACGACAGGGAGGTGACGGCGTAAATCGAGTAACCCCTTCCACTTCAGCTAGTTTTACTGAGATTTCTTATCCCGTGCAAATTGCCCATTAATATTATAGACGTCCTGTGGTAAAATTACATGACTCCATCTACCCTTGTAAAATTAATCCTGTCCGAATAGGGCTTAACATTAAGCAAGCGTGGATGAACTTTATTTTTAGCGAAGTTCAAGCCAGATCGCAACAGTAAGACAGTTTGTTTGCTTCATTTTACTGCATATTCATTTTTGAACAAGACAAAGTTTAGCGTAGACTTTTTAGAGACTGAAATTTTTTTTTATTGCCGACAACATTGGACCCTACAGTAATGTTGCATTACACAAGTGTTTGTTTGATACAGATCGTTTGATATGTACTGAGTTTTATAATGTAGCGCCGCAGTCAAACTGAATAGTTTTCGATTTGCTGTTCTTTCCTTTTCTTCAGCATTTATGGAGTTAATGCGTTGGATTATCGGATACAGAAGAAAGCATGTAGAGAACGCTGCTCTTGTTATTGTTTTGATCTATGCCATTCACTGCGATCATGAAATGCTTTAGCTAACGACATCTGTTTTTTCATCAGTAAGACATTACACACGCTGCATCTTTTTTAAAACATAACACTGCAAATGACAATGTATACGTTTTTCACTTTATCGAAAAGGATGAACTATGAATAGCCTATAAGACAGGATGACAAACCATGGTACATTCATTCATAATTCCATTTACACAAAACACCGTAAAAGTCATCCTTTGTCAATTATAACTGTGGTAACTCCAAGTACTTAAACTTTTATTTGCCACAACCAAGACCTTAAAAACCATATTTAACACACACAAATGTTTCACAATGTTGGCAAATGTTTCTATGTAACGAGATATTTTTCAGCATTGGATGTTTTCAAAACAATTCCACACGTGTAATGGTGGGGACGTTGAAATTATTATTTTAATATGCAAATATGTTAGCCAATTATAGCAGTTGGCGTTTGGAAAGTCTTGAATGTGGTATGCCCATCGAAACAGTGTGTTTGAAAGAGAGTCAAATACAGGATAGAAAATAGTTTTTTACTTCTAAATTAGGATGTAAAAATCTTGATAACATCATAATTGGACCTCAGAGAACATTATAAAAATGTTTTTAATTCATGACCCCCTTTTTTAAAGAATGGATTTAACCAGGGGCTGTTATAGGGTCGGTGGATATTTGGGGCTTAGCCCAGACTTCTGTGGATGCATATGGAGCCGTCCTTTTAATATTGGAATGATAGCTATATACACTATAAAATATTACTGTAGATCAGTGGTTCTCAAACTTTTTTTGGTCTCGCCCCCCTATAAACCTTTAAAAACAATTCTGGTTCGATTCTGAGAATACTATAAAATAATATGTTGTCAGTTGTGTGCCTTATTCTGTGCAAGAAGCCACATCATCTCACAGAAGGATGTTTTCAAGCACTCATCTGATGTTATGAAGTGAGTAAAACATGTTATTAAATGTTGTCTTTTGTTAGACAAGAGGTTCATAAATGCTTCTCATGTTTGGAAATATGTTTGACGCATGTTGCTTTTACAAATGCACATTATAAGCGACACACAAACTAGCAATGCTTTAAGATGGAGCAGCATTTACTACTGATCACAGAGCAATGCTTCACTGACAAGCTGCACATAAAAAAAATATTCTTGTTTACATTCTATCTTCTTTACTTGTCATTTATGTCGATGATCACTCCTGTAACTCAACCAGTAGATCATGATTTGATTAATAGAGAATGCATGTACTGAAGGAATGAATATCTTGAATGCAATGTAAGTGACTCTGAATAAAAGTGTATGCCAAATGCATAAATGTAAATGTAACTTCTGTCTCTTTACCCGACAGTCTCTCTGAATGGTCCTACAGAGGGCGTTGTAGTGGTCACTCTCCAGCATTATGCCCTCAGGCGTGTCCTGCATAAAGTCCAGGTCTTTGAACGTGGGCACACCCTTGGACTTTTCTTTCGGCGAAGCACGTCGCTTGTGTGTGGAGCCCTTCAGGTCGAATTTAAGGTGCATGGGTACAGCGCATGGCAGTAGGTTGTTCATCACTACGATTCGGATGTTCTTCCCCTCTGCCTGAACGCAGTAGAGACCGTAGAACTTGGGAAGCAGCGTACGCATGTTCTGGTTCAGGTTCTAGAAGACAAATGGTGAATTATATGAAGGAAGCTACTATGCTTATAATGTTCAAACAACAAAAGAATGAACTAGAAAGCAATTTAGATTCAAACAATGTTTTAGTAAATAAATGAGTGCTGTCAAAATTAACAAAATTTCTTCTAAATTAAAAAGTTGTTGTGTTTTTTAAAGCCAAATAAATGTTAGAACGTATAGCTTTCAGTTATACTGTAATGCTGAATGGCTATAATTAATGGCTAAAAATTAGGGGGAAAAATCTATTTCATAGAGACATCAGACATCAGTAGCATTGGTAACGGTGATCCCTTTCATAAAAAGATACAATTAAACAAATATTTTAAATGTAGACAACAATCTAGTTTCTACATTAATTGGGCGATTAAATATGAAATTATAAAAATATACTTAAAACTTTAATGTTAGGTGTGATTAATCGCAATCAATTACAGAAAAATGTGTTACGAATTAGTTATTTTTTTAATAGATTGACAGCACTTAAATAAATACAAAGAAACCCTCACTTACCATGAAGTAACCTGGCAGGAGTGTTTGCAAGAATTCTGCCTCTTTGTGTTGTACCGTCTTAATGATAAACTCATCATCGCTAGAAACGTAGAAGAGAGACCCGCTTGCTCCAGGGTTAGACAACTCGATAAGAGGTTCATTACAAAGAGAGTACTGCAGAAAACACACAACAGCAGATAACATATGACTGGAGTGTTGCACATGTCCATCACTAAGATGAGCTTTTGTTCATTAAGTCGTAATCTCAAGCAAGAACAGTAAAAAAACAACAATAATAATATAATCCCATTAAAAAATAACTTGGACTGAACAAGACAAAACCAGACCAACCTTTTTAGATGGAAATTAATTGATCACGTTCATCTTACATTAATTTATGGCTTTTCCAGTTAAAATGAGTTTTTTTTTTTTTTGATTCAGAATGATGTGATAATGAACCATTCAGACCATTTTATGAACCTCTTTGACAAATTAATTGAAAAAGAACCACCCACAATGGCTTGCAAGCAAGTTTAACTCTACATACACTCAACAGTAATTTCTAGCTGATGAAATATTATAGTCATTCAAAAAGATTCTCGTAAAAAAAATCCCATGACTATTACAGGCCTAAAACACACAATTTGAAAATTCCCATATATTTCCAGGAAACCATGGGAACCCTGTTTAATGAACAAACAAGATAAAAAAAAAATATAAAAAAATCCCAGGATGTCTTTCGAAAGAGTAGGGGTGTAACCCCGGCATCCTGGCCAAATTTGCCCAGTAGCCTCTCTCTGGCCTCCTAATAATCCCCATATATTTATACCAATTGGCTTCATCACTGTCTCCTCTCCACCAGTAAGCTGGTGTGTGGTGGGCGTTCTGGCGCAATATGGCTGCCGTCGCATCATCCAGGTGGATGCTGCACACTGGTGGTGGTTGAGGAGATTCCCCCTTCTGTAAAGCGCTTTGAGTGCCGAGAAAAGCGCTATATAAATGTAATGAATTATTATTATTATTATTATTATTATTACCAGGTAGTCGTCAGGTCGGATCCCAAACATCTCTCTGAAGTAGCGGAATGCAATGGGAGCATAAGTTTTAAACTTGAAGTCACCATGGTGATGACCTGGAGTTGAGCTACTGCCTTGACTGAGAGGAAGACAAATACAAGCACATTTAAGCACACAATGTGACTACTAAAACGTTCTTTCGTCTCATGGCTACTCTTATGTAGACACATATACAAACGCACCTGGGAAAGAAGATGCTTTCTACCACTTCGAAGTCCTGCATGAGCACATCTCTTTCTGGCTTCTGGCTCAAGCTTCCCACGCTGTGTGTGATGCCCAGCTGAATGGCACCTTTCAAGGCAGATGATGTGGTCTAAAGATTTTCAACAGAGGGCACATGAAGAGCCGAATAAGAACATGTTAATGTGTTAAGGCCCGTTCACGTTCACACAAAGAATGATAACTAAAACGTTATCATTGTTCATCAGCTGGAAAAAAAAAATAGTTCTGAAAGTGATTACAGTGATATTGTTTCTCTGTGCCGTTATAGTTGTGGTGTTTTTGTATATTAAGAATGATCTTTAGAACTATGTTGTTATCGTTTTAATTATCATCCTTGGTGTAAACGGGCCTTAGTACACAAAAACTAGTTTTATCTGTATGTACATGTCCATACCATTTACTAGGCTTTGTCATTGTGCCACACAAACAACAGATAACACAACAATAATCTATGTAGATATGACAGATTTAGGAATGTGTGTCATTAAACTGAGATTGGAAGATGAACTGCTGATTCTTTTGATCTGGTCTTATCTCCAACACACATCTATTTTGAAATATTTACAGGATATCAAAAATACACAGCTCAAACCTTTTTATAAGTAGTCTCCCCAGTAGGGTCAATTCCTCTGTGGCCCAAGGTCTTTTTGTTCGTCTGGGATGAGCTTGAGATGCTCAGACCCTGAAAGATAATGACTGCTCAATAAACACATCAGACAACAAGACAAAAACTTTGAACCAAAAACTTAAAACCATTTATATGTTTATATTTAAATTATTAATCATTTATTTACATCAATTATAGAATGGTGCAATTCTCATGATTTCACTGGGAGATTTTTCTGTACATAGCCTAAGTGATTGGCAGCTTTAGTGATTATAAAGTGAGCGCTCTTAGCTCACATCCTGTTTATAACCCATAAACAATTTGAAGAAAAGTTTTGTTTTTCATGCTGCTCAGTACACTGCAAACTAAGTTTCTGGTTTTACAACTGTAATGCCAGATTGAATCTGTAACTGTAATGACTGACAGTTATATAACCATAGCAACAGACGGGAAAGAAAAATCTGATACTGTATGTCAAAATATAGGCCTATGCAAAATAACTAATAGACCTGCCACATGATCTGTGTTTCTTTGTCCTTCATTGTATTACACATTTCTCACTTGATCTTTTTATAAACTAAGATTACTTATAAACATAGTTAACTAAAATAGTAAATTAGTATCAAAATTGGTACAAATAAGAGAGAACCATGACATTTTTCTGGAATTGATACCGACTACTGGAATTTTGGAACAGTGACAGGACAACCCTAGTAGAGCCATAAATAAATTGGCCAGTTTTTAATAACAACCACAAAATAGTGGAATGTGAATATGAAACTATTACAGCAACAACAAAAAAAGCATACAATTACCTCCGAAGAAGCCATCTTTCGATTTCCAGGAACACCTACAGTAGGAAAAAAAAAAAAACTTCTCCATGAAAATGACTAGTGGAAAAAGCCATTAGGCATTACAGTGCATTTATGGATTGCAGCTAATTGAATTATAATAAAGCATAAGATTCTTGCCAAGCAAAAATGCAGAGCTCGTACTTCAAGTATAAGAAGCATGAGACTGTCCTCTTAGACTTCACATTTTCCCTATGCACTGGTATCCTAACCAGACACTGAAGTGATTATAATTTGCTAAACTACAAATAAAATGCAAAAAAATTGCAAATACGAATGCTAAATAGCTGTTCAGGCTTGAGATGTGTCGTTAACCACAACTGTGAGTGTAAACATGCAGCATGCACAGACACCTGGGTTTCAATTCCTTTGTTCTTCCAAGAAAACACTGTAACCCAATCACACCAGCTGAGTCTGTCTGAGGTGGCACTATGATTAAAATAAAGACAAGCACAACCCAAGCAGTCATGGGCCTACTGCAGACTGTCTACTCTACAACACTGATATTCAAATTAGAGATCATATGCAAACACAGCCACACGTGTGCTTTTACACACATATGCATGTACCTTTCGGCTGGAATAACCTCCAAAATAAAGACATCTGAAGAGTGACAACAGTGATTAAAGAAACAAAACAAACATTTCTAATTCTACTATCACAAATTAAATATTAAAAAATTAAGCATCTTTGACAGTCCATTTTCATATCTCATTTTGTTAGAAAGCATTCATCACTTATCTGAGCACCATAATACACATTTATATGTGCCACTAAACGCTATTATTAGAGCTATTGGATATCTGCAAATTATAAAATCATTATGTGTGCTAAATTGAAGGGCAACAAAAAAGGAAGAAAAAATAAACATCCTGCCAGCAAATAAACTTAAACTAATAAAATTATTTTGATGTAATGGCTGATAACCAATAAATGGCAAATTTGACCATTTTATATTATTTTTAGTAAATAAAACACAATGAGAAAAAAAAAATCAATAGTTTTGATAGTTTGCATAGCACTATAAGGTTCGAAAACGTTTTTGAAAGAAGTCTCTTATGCTCATCAAGCCCACGTTTATTTGATCAAAAACACAGAAAATACAGTAATATTGTGAAATATTATTACAATTTAAAAAAAATAGTTTTCCTTTTTTAAATATACTTTAAAATATAATTTATTCCTGTGATGAAAAGCTTAATTTTCATCAGCCATTACTCCAGTCTTAAGTTCTGGTCTTCTTTTTTGAATAAATGCTGTTCTTTTTAACTTTTTGTTCATCAAAGAATCCTGAAAAAGTATCACAGGTTCCAAAAAATATATTAAGCAGCACAAATGTTTCCAACATGATAATAACAGAGTATCAAATCAGCATATTAAAATTATTTCTGAAGGATCATGTGACACTGAAGACTACATCAGTAACGGATGATGTAAATCCAGCTTTGCATCACAGAAATAAATTATATTTTTAAAGTATATTAAACTAGAAAACCATTGAAATATAATTTCACAATATTACAGTTTTTCTTCTGTATTTTGATCAAATAAATGAGGCTTGATGAGCATAAGAGACTGCTTTCAAAAACTGTAATGTTTCCAAACTTTTGACAAGGTACACTTATTTATGTGTGTGTGTGTGTGTGTGTGTTATGTATAGTTCAGTGTACTATACAGTGGTGATTGTTCCACGTGTGCTCAAAGCACCTAACTACACATTTCTTGCTATAGGAAACAAACCACACGACTAATTTACTATACGTTAGATCATTCTTTGAACCTTGAGCACAGTAAAACAGCTTAATCTACTTTACACTAATGTGTCATAAACAATGGTCATGAACAGCAAGAGGAAATAAAATGCTTTCTTACTGGAGCTCGCTCCATCCGTGGAAACTACAGCCGGCGTAGCCATTTTCTGGCGGAAGTTTCATATGGTCCTGCTTGTTTTCACTTGTGGTTTATGCAACACACACAGTCCTGAAAGATCACAATGTCCAAATAAAGTCTGTTAGTCAACCCAAACCTGAAGGAAACTAACTGATGTAAGGTTACAAAAAGTTGCTTAACTTAGTGTGGCAGTATTTTGCCGTGATATGTACTAAATGAGTGTGGTGGTTACTGGTTACACACTACTTTAACCTGTCATGCTTTATCATTTAAAAACACTCGCTATATAAAAATGTGTTTGTTTGTTTGTTTACTTACTTGCATACTAATGGCTTAATGGCTAGAGACCCCCCACAACAACAACAACAACAACAACAACAGGTAAGAGCGCTTACCTCAACTTAATCTCTTCGTTTTCTACTCAAGAATCAAAAACAGTATAGTTAAACTTCTGTTTATGTTCGCAGAACGGCTTGATGTCTCGTGCGAATCTCTGAGGTACTCGAAATTGTTGTTGTTATTACTTTACTGGGTCCATCCGAATTCCGAGGTAAATAACCCGCTTAATCGCACGGAAGCCTCACTCCTCACGAGCCTCCTCCCAATTTGCGGAAGTGACGTTGTTGCGCAGCTCTGTCCTGCTGGTCCTGCTCATCAAAGGTCCTGCTCATAGACTGTAAAAAAAAAAATAGGTCCTGCTAGGCGCGTCTATGGGCGCGGGCGGTGGCTGTGTTGAACTAGTTGAATGGCTCATTCTTGGACAAATCTGTTTTCTACAGGGGGCGCTCGACTGATAAATGCCACTCGAGCTTCATTCAAAACCTTTTACATTTTCCCCGAGGACATTTTGTCATTTATAAACTTAAAAGAATAGTTCACTTAAAAATTACAACTCACCCTCAAGTTGTTTCAAACCTGTATGAATATTTCTGCTGAAGATATTTTGAAGAATGTCGTTTACCAAACAGTTGATAGACCTCATTGACTTCCATAGTACCAAAATAATCTTCCTTTGTGTTCAGCAGAAGAAAGAAATCCATACAGGTTTGAAACAAAAATGTAATTAAATTAAAGCGGTCACAAGGGACATGTAACGTAACAGCGTCGAGTGTCTTTTTTGCTTTAATAAAATGAGCTTATAGCCAAAAAATGCTCAACAATAATTACATCTCTATTACAAATCATACACAAACCGTACAGCATAAAGTAGCCTAGGCTAAGCTTTGACTGAGCTAAAAAATACACTGGAAGTTTGCCATAAGACTATTTTATGGAAGTAGTTGCCAGTTACATTTATATGTAAAACGCTTTTTTGTTTCAAAGCCGTTTGTAAACAGTAAAATAACAGTGTTACTGTTGTAAAATCCACTTTTGAAACGACTTCAAAATAGCTGTAAAGAAGCTCTGGAAGACAGTCATTTTTCAGCTCAATTTCATTAAATGTGAATACAATTCAGATCAATAACGGTGTCAATGTTGCAATTACGCATAGTTCAATTGTGGACAAAGTTCAATTGAGCAATAAAGCAGCTCACAGAAGACAATGGTTAATATTCAGCTCAATTTAGTTCAAGTTTTTGTGTTGCCTATATTAATGTAGGATAACAACAAGGTTTTTTTTTTTACATTGTGGATTAGGGTTAGGGTTAGGGAAATGTATTAACATTATATTTCCATAAAGGGTAGGCATATTTTACCCCTACATTTATTATTGTATAGCTAATGTCACTAAATAAGATATAGACCAATTATCAAGATGCTGAAACACCATTCTAACCATTGAAGGTTACCATTTCTTTCAAAAAACAAGTTTATTCTTTAAAAATAAAATATTTCACTAAATTCCAAACCTTTACATGTTTACCTTAGAAATTAGATCGAATGGCAGCTGATATACATTTATGATTTGTGATCCCAAATACATTTATCATGCAAAAAAATTGGATGTGAAAGATATAGATATAGCAACAGTTATTTATAGCCTATATATAAGGAAAAGTCAAGGTTAAACAATGAAAAGGCTTCAGATTTATTTGAATCTTTTTACAACTTTGGAAATACATTGAGTGATAGCAAGCTGCTGCACATTGTTTTCTGTATGCAATAATACATGTGAAGATAAATAAATTGATGCACAGGGTTGTATGCCAGCTCTTCTACACTGTGCATGTTTAATTTACTTGAAAATCATGTTATATTCTGACTCTTCACAGTTGATTAATTGACACAGGTTTTGTGCTGCTAAATCAAATAAAAATGCTCAGGTTGTCATTTAGCATCTTGACCTTTAACAGGTGTTGGGGTCCCAGCTGAAAATCCTATCAGGTGATATTATGGGGGCCCTGTAACCAGAGAGGGGTTGGTAGAAGGGGTTAGCAGCATTTTTTTGAAAGCAGTTCCACCTTTCTTCGTTCTTCTTTTCACAGCACTCATGGACCAAGGTCATGGTGGAGTACTCTTCAATACAGAAAAGGGACAAAGCAGTTTCCCACTGCGAAAACAAGGGGGGAAAAGACAATTATTTTTCCGTTCAGTAAAATGTAAATAGTAAAATGACATATTATGTTTCTCATTCTGTGTACTCACTGCCTGTTTCGCACAGCAAAGGATCTGTCCATTTCCATGGGCTAAACCTCCATAGCAGCACCGACTGAACCATGCCTCTAGTCTGTTTACTGCCTTTCCAGCACGACGAGCGTAAGCGTAACTGGATGAAGGGAAACTGGAGTCAGGGTATCTGGGGCGGCCATTGCCATAACGACAGATCGCCTTGAGATTGTAAATCGAAGGTCTGGCTGGAGGGAAGTTTGATTCCAGCAGCACCTCAGGGTAAAATTTCTGTCCAACTAAATGGAAGACGGACAAAATAACCAAGTAGCTGAAGTTGATGAAGGACAAGATATTAATATTATGCAGAAAAGTAACCTTTTTTTGTCAAGGTCCATCTTAAATGTATTAATAAGAAAGTCAGAGAATGAAACATCAACTATCTATTAGAGAAATACATACATTTACATTTATTCATTTAGAAGACGCTTTTAAGGCTTCTTCTTCTTTTTTTCGCTCCAAAATAAGAAGACAATAAATAGAATAAAGTTTTGTAGTTAAGGCACATACCTCCCAATGAAATTAGATGAAGAATCAAAGTAGTCACAAGTGTGCTTTTCCAAAACATGACTGGTTAATTTCTGCAGTAAAAATATCCTTGCTTTCAGTTTGCAAATGTGCACTGTTTTCTTCAGGTCTGATACAAGTTTTAAAAGATTGCAAGGCTTTATTTAAAGGGATTGGAAGGAGAATGAAAGGCGGGCCAAAGTTGGTGGGTCAGCAGAGTTTGAAGTATGGAGATAAGGGCCTACGGTTATCTGTCTTTAATTAAACTCCCCCATAATATGAATTCAAAGTCAAAGCAGTGGATAGTCAAAATATGATTCTGCAAAGTTCACTAAAGCTACAGTGAATGCAATAAGTAGGCTACTGATTGTGGTCAGAATTATTGGCACCCCTGGTAAATATGATCAAAGATGGCTGTAAACATAAATCTGCGTTGTTTATCCTTTTGATCTTTCATTCAAAAAATTTGCAAAAATATAACCTTTCATTGAAGTAAAAGAGTTGAAAGTGGGGGGTAAATCACATTATGAAATAAATGCTTTTCTCCAAAGCACGTTGGCCATAATTATTGGCACCCTTTTATTAAATACTTTTTGCAACCCCTTTTTGCCAAGATAACAGCTCTGAGTTTTCTCCTATAATGCCTGATGAGTTTGGAGAACACCTGACAAGAGATCAGAGACCATTCCTCCATATAATCCAGATCCTTCAGATTCGCCGGTCCATGTTGGTGCTTCATCTCTCTGGTTCACTGTCGTGTCAGACAACTGAATATTATACAGTTTGTTTTTGGATGAGCACAGAGGTTTTTCTTGACACCCTCCCAAACAACATGTGGTGCTGTTTGATTTTTTTTTAGGCTTTCTGACCCCAAGACTCAACTAATCTCTGCAATTCTCCATCTGTGATCCTTGTAGAGTCTTTTGCCACTCAAACTTTCCCCCTCACTGTGCATTAGGACGATATAGACTCACGTCCTCTTCCAGGCAGATTCGTAACATCTTTACTTGATTGGAACTTTTTAATTATTGCCCTGATGGTGGAAATGGTAATCTTCAATGCTTTAGCCATTTTCTTACAACACTTTCTAGTTTGTGAGGCTCAACAATCTTTTGATGCACATCAGAACTGCATTCTTTGGTTTCACTCATTGTGATGGATGTTAAAGGGAATTTGGCCTTTTTGTTTTCTCATATTTATACTCATGTGAAACAAGAAGTCATAGCTATGTTCCTAGTCACCCTGGTGTGCTAAATTTTTTAATATATACTTCAGAGATATTTAACTCATAAACAATTCTAGGGGTGCCAATAATTGTGGCCTACATGTTTTTGGAGAAAAACATTTATTTCATAATGTGATTTTCCCCCTACTTTCGGTTCTTTTACTTCAATGAAAGGTTAGATTTTTGCAAATATTTTGAATGAAAGATCAAAGGGATAAACAATGCAGATTTATTTTTACAGCCATCTTTGATTTACCAGGGATGCCAATAATTCTGACCACAACTTTGTGTAGGTCATGGTTTTGTCATGAATTTCAATTGCTTCAGTGCATGTGCAAAGCGGCAGAAATTATAATATGGTTAGTTCACAGTTTTCTCTAATTTTACTAGCAATGATGATATCGATTCAAAGACACAATTGCATTTTTTATTTACTGATTCCTGACAATATGGCAAAATAATCACTTTATTTTTTTACTTTACAGGCCGGTTTATGAGTTTTAAACCCTCATCTGACATTCTGATTCAGCATGTTTCCCGTATTTTAAGTGTGAGAAACAGGGGATGTTTTTAGGGAGGATTTATGAGGCTGACTTTGTGAAACCTATTTGCTCATTTAAGCTGTTAACAGCACATAAATTTACCATATCAGCAACCAGAAACCTTTTTTCTGACCATATTGTTAATAGCAATCATGGGCAAAAATACGTAAATAGATCATGATTCATGGAAATATCTTATCTTATCTTTTTTTATCTAATTAAAATGGATTTATCAAGTACATGAGAGAAATACTCCCATGACTTCTTGCAAACCAGCCAGTTCTGCGGGCAATAATGTGATATGTCATGCTTGAGGAGCTGCATTGAGAAAAACATAAAATATCTTGATGTATCCCACTTCTGGCAGCTGAACAAAGCAAGAAAAATACCAATTTTAGCAGGGAGTTCTAAGAAATTATTTGAGATGTACGGTACCGAAACCATCATCAAGTTTGTGAAATCCCATTTGATTATTTCCCAGTTGTGAACAAATATGAATTAAATGCTGGTAACACTTTACTTGAAGGGGTGTGCATAAGACTGACATGACACCTTCATAATCATGTCATGACACGTCATGATTATGAAGGAGGATTCGTGCATGTTTATGACAACTGTCATTAAGTGTCATTCGCTCAATAATGAAATTTTAATGCAAATATGACATTGTTTGAGATGTCTTGGTAATAACACCTTGACGTAAACCAATACATCATAACCTGTCAGTGTCTTTGTCATGACAACATGACAGTATATATATAATTTTTTTTAAATAAAAAATAAATTACATATATACAGGGGTGTAATCAATAATTTAGCTATTGTATGTATGTGTATTTATATATATATATAATATATATATATACACACACTAAAAAAAGGTACACTCTTTTCTTCCAAAATGTACTAATATGTACTTTTAAGTTACTAACATTCCCTAATGTGTCCTTTTTGAAAGGGTACAGCCTATATGTATGTTGGATATTTAAGAAAAAAGAAGGCAGTTATGATATATATTATTGACACATTGTTTATTCTTCATACACTACAAGTCTCGGTACTCCTCGTGCACTAACTTATTATTGACACACGTTTTGTGTTGCTAAAACAAATACAAATGCTCAGGCATATGGCATTAAGAAATAATCATTTAGCATCTTGACCTTTAACAGGTGTTGGGGTCCCAGTTGAAAATCCTATCAGGTGATATTATGGGGGCCCTGTAACCAGAGAGGGGTTGGAAGGAGGGGTTAGGAGCCACTCTTTCAAAGCAGTTCCATCTTTCTTCTCCCTGCTTCTTACAGCACTCATGGACCAAGGTCATGGTGGCGTTCTCCTCAAAACAGAAAAGGGACAAAGCAGTTTCCCACTGGAAAAACAATGAAAATAGGGATCAGTATGTCTCTTTATGCAGTATGCCTGTTCTCAGTCTGTACTCACCGCCTGTTTGGCGCAGCAAACGATCTGCTGGCATCCATAGAACACACCTTTCTGGCAGCACTCACTAAACCACGCTTCTATTCTATTTACTGCAGTTCCCGCTCGATAAAAATATCCGTAATGTGAAGATGAGATGTAGCTGGCAGGAAATCTGGGACGGCCATTTCCATGTAGACACATGGCATTGAGGTTTTCCAGTGATGGTTTGGCTGGAGGGAAGTATGGCTCCAGTTGCATCGGAGGGTGAATGTGCCTTCCTCCTGCTTGGGAGAGGGCACAACAAATTAGTGTGTGTGCATCTATTTGCTAGCAAGTCAATATGCCTTAATTGCTGCATGCTGCAATTTATGATTAATTTATGAATATTTTGCATTTTGCAAGCCATACCTCCTAAAGTTAGCTGGAAAATTAGAATGATGCTGAGTGTAGTTTTCATTTCCATTGCAGCTTATGTCCTGAAGTGAATGATTTGAGCCAAGTTGGACTGTCAGTGCCTATTTAAAGAGGTGGATTGACGACTGGAAGGTCAGATAATATTGTGATGTTATGAACAGTACGTACAAATCTGTGCAGCAAAAGTTCATCAAAGTTCACAGATGTTACAAGAAGTGTAAATATTACTGATATCCATGTCACAACACAGATTAGATATTTCGCAGTGTTGACAAAGTCCTGGTGTTTTTATATTTTGTTCGTTTTAGTCTTGGGGAAATATAAACCATGATGAGAGTCAATTCAGGACATTTGGGAGATACATTTTTTTGTGGGGGTGATAAAGTATCCCAATTTACCTGAATTCACCCCTACATAACATAATGTAATGAAATGCAACAATCTATGTAAATTGTGAAATATTAGTTTTAGTGTTATTAGTGATTTTAAACATAGCTTCTAAAAACAGGAGGTCGACACAATATGACACTGTACAAAAAGAGGCATTTTCAGAATAAGAAAAAAAAATGAAGGCTTCAGTTTGAAAGGATTTTTTAAAATTGAATTAATGTACTTAATTTTCAACCCAACCTGCTGGCTTAAAATGTGTAAGCCAATTTTCTGGGTTATTTCCTGGTGTCACCCAGTGCTGGGTTGCCAGTTGGGTTGTTTTTAACCCAACCATTTTTAGAGTGTATAAGCACTTCAGGTGTTTCTCAAATGGAAGGCTGAATCCTAGTGAGGCTGTGTCCTTCCTAGTCCAGTCCTTTGGAGGCTTGTAAGTCCTCCTTAGCATTAAACGCTATGAGTCAAGTACGCATGCATGGCTACATCATAAATGTTTCCGCCCCTGTGTTCACGATGCGAAATTCTATTAATATTATAATATAATATAATTGAAAAATACTTTATATTAAAAACCTTCATATCATGCCTTTCTATTAATGCAGTATAGGTAATGACAACTGTCTGTGGTCTCCCAGTGGTTGACACTACGCACAGTTTAGCATCATGTGATTCATTTACAACAAATCAATAGAAAGCATCATGCCTTCATCTCCAAAATCATTATTTTTGTCTTACATTTCATAATGAACTCAGACAAGATCAGTGCAGACTTGTTTTCAGTCAGTTCTTTTTTGTGAATTGGAATGTGTGCATTGATTGTGGGTTGTTGAAGGACGTGAAGGATACACTTGATGCATCCTTCAAAATGAGCTGAATGAAGGACGCGAAATGAAGGCTGCCTTCCAAGGATCCTTCAAACTTTCTTCCAGACATCTTTCAGACATCCTTTGACGGAGCTTGTTGACATGGCAGTCGAGATATGCAGCCTTACTAGGACGTAGCCTTCCGATTAAGAAGCACCCCTTGTGTGCACTTGCGGTCTTGTGGACTTACAATGGCCGCCGCGTGCGCGAGTCCACAATACTGAAGGGTGTCACATTTGTCCTTTTAGGTTTCTGAAGGGTGCTCGTGGGCGCCTCCTTTGCAGCCGATATGCGCCTTTGTTGGGCACTTTTGCAGAACCCACAATGAGCGAGATCCACAGCAGGCTTCTTCCCGACAGTCAAAGCGG